ACTTTCCAAATATTCGAGGGTATGAACGAAGCTTGGACCAACATTCCGCTAATGATTTGCAGAGGACTAATACAATCCATGCCTAGGAGGTATTTGAAAATAATTGAAGGCCATGGATATCCAACTAAATATTGTATTTTAAATTGAGACAGAACCTTCTGTGTTGTCAGAAAATGCTGCCTAAAAATATAAAATTTTTTTTTTTAAACTAATGAGTATGCTTAATGTGAAAATATATATTTATTATTTTCTTCTAAAATAGTAAATGATGAGGCCCCCTATTATTTTTTGTACAATTGTATATAATACGGTAAAATTTGGCAAGCAGGTATATAATTAAAATGTCTAATTTTTGATATAAAAAATAACATATCACAATGCTATAATGACAGCAGGGCACTACATTAAGTATTATTATTTTTCAATAGTAAAAAAAGGCATGTGATACCTCTTTTTAAATGTCATTTCACATTCTGTTCGCATACCAATTTACTTGGTAATCATATTGTTGATCCAATATTTATCGATTATAACCTTACTAGTGAACATTATCTCGATATGCTACGAAATTAAATTAATCCACAAATTAAAACAATTGTAGCAAATTACCGAAATGAATTTCAAAAAGAGACAAAATTTTTCAGCTGTGTCACCGCATTATTTGACTTAACAGGAGGATTAGAGGACGAGGCCCCATTGAATGATCACCTCAGTCAACTCAGACTTAACACCCCTAGGGATATCTAAAAAGTAATATTTACGTTACACTTACATTTATGTTAGGAACGAGTTTAATAAAATACTTGATAAACTGATGACACCATTAATTTTTTTTTATTTTAAGCTACGGTTAAGTAAAAAACTTGCAAAAATTGATGAATCAAATGTTTTCAAAATTGACATGCCAATAGAGCATGAAGAGACCTTTATTACGATTAAAAAAAAATAGACATTTTACAAGGGCACAACAAATAAAAGGGGTGTCATTTACGAGGTCACTGTATATTCGGAACAAATAGAGGCATCGTTTTTAATTAGTTTTCCGTCACTATATACCGGATGTCGCAGTAAGGGCAACAAGGTATGGCATTGGGCAAACGAATGTTTCCAAAAATTTTGAAAAAAAAATTAAGTAAATCGTCCCAGGGAAAATATTGGAAATTATTTTTGAGAGTGTAATTGCCATTTTGGATTTTAAAATCCGTTTTATGCAAAATTATATTATATGAATGATAATTACAAACATTTGATAAAGACACGGTGTTGTTGATAAATGGATTTTCATCAAGTAAAAGCCTCCTCAGTTCAAGACATCAGTACACTGAATTCTAAAAGACCACTATCGACACCCTTACCATCATGCCCTTAGACTAATGAATTGGCTAAATTCTATGGTAGATGAGAATCCCAATTTTTTATCTTCAATATTGTGGAACGCTGAAGATGCTTTTTTGAGCAATTGTATAATATTGGTCACCAGTGAAGCTTCATTGGATCCGTCAAGTTAATCATCAAAATCGGTGGAGTCCAGTGTGGTAGTTGGGGTGATCAAATTATAGGAAGATTTTTCTTTAATCGTAAAATGAATGGCCAAATTTATTTGAAATTTTTAGATTTTAGATTTTTTAAAACGTTCCTTAATAAACGAGGCTGGAACACCATTGATGTCCAGCACACTTTTCTCACGAAGTTGGAAATTTTTAGGCCACATTTATTCAAACCGTTAAATAAGAAGGGGTGGTCTGTCTCCGTGACCTGCCAGATTTCCAGACCTTACTGTCCTGAACTTTTACCTTTGAGGAAGCATAGAAGATTTTCCTTATCAAACTCGCCCTACTACGCCTCAACATATGGTTTATCATATCCAAATTTATGTAGCTAATACTTCAGGAGCTGAAATTAGTACGGGCTTAATAAATACACAACGCAGGATAAATTCCTCCATAGGAAATGACCAGTGGAACTTTGAACATTTGACCTTTGATTTTCCTTTCAATTAATATTGTTGTGTTTTATCGTTATTAGTGTTCATAATTTTCGGATAGAGTAATTAATTTTTAATACTCCCTTTTGTAAAATAACTAATTATACACCGATCTAGTGTGCGAAAAGCGTCACATTACCACGTGAGTTCTTTTTTCCACGGATCCAAGCCCTTTCGGACATTTTTGGGATTTTGCCGCACGGGTTTGGGAGCAATCGGATGTTTTCGGAGATTTTACCGCACAGTTTGAATTTTGACGTTAGTCAATTCTGATGGTCATGTCAGTGAATGTATTCGTGTTGTTTTGTGAAAAATGTACCCAAAAACTAATGGTCGTAGAAAAAGTATAGTATGCGACACGTTTGGTAAACTTTTTAAGTTAAACACTCGCTCGCTCCGCTCGTACCAAATACGCTCGTCACTCTAATGCCGTTTACCGCACTTGTTGCATGATATACTATAAAAACGTTGCCTTAGAATGGGAGAAAGATATTGAGATGAGGGTTTTCACTGGCTTTTGTTTGATTATCTAATGTATCTAATTATCTATCGTTACATTTATTTTCTTTCCAGAAAATATTCCTTTTGTCATCATCAGAAAAAGCCCTCTGGTTGCAGGGTATTTGATTGTAATCATCTCATTCATAGCACTTTCTGGATAGCCTAGCAAAAGCTCATTTTAACCACTCCAAGTTTAATAAAATCCATTTATTTCCGGAAATTTTGGAGATAGAGTAAATAGCATCCAACAAAAAAGATTTGAATTTGTCTCAGTTTTAAAATAATATTCACTCTAAGTATCGTTAATATAAGAAATTTTTGCAGAAAAATAATTTCCAGCATTTTGTTTGGAGCGATTTACTTAATTATTATTTTTTCTCCCACACCGTTTCGCGAAATCGATATAAAAATGCCTCTGAAGATAAAGACATTTGGAGTAAACTAGTAAAATTTTCAAATTTATAAATAGGCAGGTAATATAATATAATATAATATAATAGGTAATAGGCAGTGTGTCACAGTGCAAAAATAATGTTATATTTATTTATATCAATAACAAGTAAAATCAAAATAGAGAAATGGACAAACACCTCATTTAGTGAATAAATTTAAAAGATATTACTTCAAGCCAAAAGCCATTTTGTAATAACAAAAAATAACAACAGTCAAATTGTTATATTAAACTTAAACGTAAAAGTGAAATTAATAAGAAAATCGGATGTACGATCGTGAACAAATATGTAATTATTAATTATTGCGTCAGTCAACATTTAAATTGACTTGCAGTGTTCCCAATTGTAAAACCAGTATTTATAAGGAAAATTAAATTTCAACTAATCTCGTTCAATAAGTCCTTAAAAAATGCAAGAGATAGCGATAGTAGTATCGAAAATAAACTTTTGCATTGTGTAACTAGTCAGCTGTTATTGGTGTCGATTCAGCCCAAAAGATACTTGTGTGTTATGCAGAAAAATAAAATCATTAAAAAATAGAATGACATGCTTAGGAGCTGTCCTTGGACTGTTTTTTATTATTTATATTAATGGCATTTATAAGCTGTTCGGTGGGACAAGCGCTGCTGACTGCATTGGCAGATGACGCAGGTTTTTACTATGGGTCGGATACTCGCCAATATTTAAAAGAGAAAATACAAGGTAATTTTATAGAACACATAAATTGGTTCAACAAAACTAACCAAAACTATTTTTATACCTTTTAGTTGCCATAATAATACCTTTAAATTTCAAATTAATTCATGAAGCTTTCACAGCAAATCTTGTAATAAATTTAGATATCCTCGTTGTTAGCCGTTTGAGACCACCACCATATTTTTAAAAAATAGGAGTGCAAATCTTTTCAAATAAAATTCCTACTAGCACTTAGTTCAATGATAAATCTTTTTTCTTTTATTACTCGTTTTTCACAGTTAGACCAGCTTTGTACTGATATTTTAGCTACCTCTTGCCGAATTACTTCTTAATTAAGATTTAATGTCCGTTTTGTTGTGCTATCGAATCGATTTTGTAGACTTTATTAAAATGTTTTATTTTTAATAATTCCAGAAGTTCCTTTTTCCTGTAGCTCTCTTCAAAATGTAAATTATTTTCGTACATAAATTCTCTTCTTTATTTGGAATGTTTCTAATTTGGACTGAATGATACGAGGCACTATCCAACACAATAACAGTATCTTGAATCTTTGACGTTTTGGAGCCGGAATGAAAAAATATTGTTCCGTCTAAATACACTATTGCGAAATTCATTGAGATTCCATTAGCTTGACGTTTATTAATTGTTTGGAACTGAAAATCCATTTCACTTTTCTATAAATATTCGTTACGGTCCATCTAAGGCAAGACCTACTTAGTGCAGAATTGACATCTGTTGGGATGGATTTTAGCACGGTCTTGCGAAGGTCTGCGGTTAAGGTACTGTAAAATACTTAAAACATCAAAGCAATAAAAGCACTATATTTTTGGTCGCATTATACCACCACTTATTAATGTAGGCGAAGGATCATTTTCTGGTAGTAGTTAGTTTTATCGTAAACACAAACTAAATATGGTTTACTTATATATTTAGTCTTAGGAAATTATATGCTATACGGTATGATACATATTTTTTTAATTTTCCGATTTTTTTGGTATAGTTTTAATTTTATTACATGGATAATAGTAAGGTATTACTATATCAGTATTACGTACGGATACAGGAAACCATCTCTGAGCATGGGCGTACTACGTAAATTAACAAATGCCAAGTACAACTGATTCTGTCTCTCTTACTCCCAAGTAATATAATCGTGACAGTTAGTGACGGCATTTTTAGGCGGAACAACATCTGTTGAAGTATAAATGGAAGCAAGATGAACAATGACTATGGCATCACAAATCGTACTGACTATAGCTATTTCGTTATTATGGAGAAGAGATTTACGAGCTTCTCGCTTCTCGGTCGTCGTGACGTCTAAAGACGGACCGAACATAATAGTAAATCATCGTTCCTTATAATTTCAGCTATTTGGTTCTCGAGCACGTATCCGGGGGCGAGTTGTTCGACTATCTGGTCAAGAAGGGTCGGCTCACCCCCAAGGAAGCCCGCCGATTTTTCCGACAGATCATATCCGCGTTGGACTTCTGTCACAGCCATTCCATATGGTGAGCGAGGGGGGTTTCGGGAGAGTTCTTGAATTATTGCTGCGTGTGGGGTCCATTTTTCCGAACTGGGGTCGGTGGAGCTCGAAGCTCACACGTTATTTTTACTGTAGTTTATTTTTGACTAGAACCAATACAGTGAGCGGCTATATACAGAACTGAACTCCATTTTAAAAACTTCATATGAATAAAATTATGTCTCTAATTTTCAGATACAGAGTGGTAACGTTTTAAAAAATATTTTTTTATCTGTAATATCACATTTAAGCAAATTTGGCACACGTGTACTATATACCAAGAGGTGTAGTGTACTACATGTTTTAAAAAATAAACCAGTGACGGGCGCACCGAATTGTCTAAAGAAATTAAATTTCTAGATTTTTTAATCTGATGTATGGTTTTCGATTAGAAAAATAAAAACTTCTTCTCTGCATGGCCATAACAATATCGTTAACAGGGCAGCAAATCATAAACGAATGCAAATATCATTATTTTTTTTAAGGAAATTATCTATCTAAAACAAAATACCTACTTCCTAGTTACTAACTAAACCAGAAACAAAAAATAAAAGACAATTCTTTTTACTTTTACAGTTTGACAGTTTACATAACAAGATAAATAATAAATAGTTATTAAAAAAAAAACACTGCCCACTATTAATAATTTTTAACAAAATTATGTGTTAAAAAATTAATAACAACCTTTTTGGAAAAAGGTAGAACATAGAAACTAGATAAGCTGTTGAAAGTGTCATCCACGCTTCAGATCTTTTCCTCATATTGCCACGTACTGTTAAACTGGCAGTGTTAACTGGGGTGCGATAAACCAGACTTTGAAGATGCCCCCATAAGAAAAAGTCCAAGCTGTAAATCTGGGGACCTAGGGGGCCATGGTTGAGGTCCGCCGCTACCTACCCATCGGTTATTAAATGTGTGATTTAAATAGTCTCTTAATGCAACACAACATGTTGTTCTGTTCCTAATGAAATATGCTACTTCTTCTAGTAATATTGCCAAATTCTGTTTTAAAAACCGGCGATAATTATGGCCATTTAGCCTTTCTGGCAGGAAAAGGGTTCAATTAAGTAATTTCCAACAATTCCAGACCCTACATTTATCGAAAAGTCTTCTTGCTGTTTAAATTCTACAAATGCATGGGTGTTTTTATCGGGCCAAGCATGGTTATTGTGGAAATTTTTTATTGCAATTCTGGAAAAATTAGCTTCATTTGCAAAATAGTATTTCTTGGTCAAACAAGGGATAATGCGCACAATTTTGCCCAAAAACCATTGACAAAAATTAGCACGCAAGGGAAAATCTCAGGAATTAACGCTTGGACTCGTTGAATATGAAAATGGTGCAAAATTCTCCAAGCCAAGACGTGAGAGATATTCAGATTATTTCGAATTTTTCTAGTACTAAGTTCAGGATTTTCATCAATGGAATTTAAAACTGCTTCTTTAATTTTTAGAGTTCTTACAGTACAATTGGCCCCTTTTAAATGATTATTTGCCTGTTTCAGTCAATCTTCTCTGTACAATTGAAAATGTTCTATGTATTATCTATTAGGAAAGCGCTCTTAATATAATTGCCTAGCTTCCGGCGCACTCCCATCAGCCAAACCATACATAAAATGCATATTTGCCAACTCCTCATTAGTAAACTGGACCATCCTTTTTTAAAATAACAATGTTCGGATATTTTTAAACACCAAATTAATAACACGCGAAGAACTGAATTTAAAAATTGACGTGAAAATTGACAAAATTAGAAAAATTTCAAAAATACACCTATGAGTTTATGTGCTTCGTATTCGTACATCGATTTTTTGAAGTATTTTAATAAAATATAGAGACAATTACTTAAGTAAGAAATAATAATAATAATAATAATTCTCTGTATGCTGTCTGTCATATTAACGATATTGTTATGACCATGCAGGAAGGAGGTTTTGTATTTTTTTAATGAAAAATATTCGGAGATTAAGAATAATGATGTTTTTAAAAAAATTGTTTTAGGTTAAATAATGCTAATGTTAATAAATTTCATCAAAATATATAAAGTAGTATTACAGATATTAGAAAAATATATTTTATTTTTGAGAACTTTATCACCCTGTATCTCAAGACGTATGGACATATGTTCATATCAAGTTTTCTTTTTAAAAGGGACCCCTTATTATCTATATTCAATTAGACAACACCCTGGATATGGAAAAATTTAATTTAAAAATCAGGTATTGGATTTTGAGAAAAATGCTTGTACACCATAATTTTGTCTTGCCCATTGTTAGCAGTAAACGGAAAATATGCAGGATTGATCAAAAAGTAGCTGATGATACCAAGTACCTTTTTTACGATTTTTTTAAAATCAATTTTCTAATTATTATTCTTTTTGATAATTTGCTGAACCGTTTAAAAACCTTTTGCCAAGCAAAATGGGATGGAGCAACATCCTGTTGAAACCAAATCTATCTATCTGGCATATCAGGCTTTTTTGGATTTGGGAAAGAAAATGCGATGGTAGGAAGTTGAAGAAATTTTAATTATCGGGTTCTAGTAAGACTTTGATCGAAGAAATAAGGCTCAATAATTTTGTTATTGGAAGTCCCTGCTAACATTTATTTTTGGATGTGGATGTTGCGTATGATTTTCTTTCATCCGTCGGGGATTATTTGTGCTCCGATACCCACAATTTTGCTTATTTACCGCACCATTTAAAAAAAAAAAGTGCCTTCATTGTTAAACAGTATGTGATGATGGAAAAATGGATTTATGTTGAACATAGTTACACGAAAGTATAGTCTGCGGTCGGGATTATCTTCGTTCAGCTCCTGTAGTAATGTAATCTTGTACAGATGATACCTTTTTCTTTTAATTCAAACAAAGTTGTTCGTTGGCTAACATTATTATTTGAGTATGGCGATTGTCCTCAACGTTTATATGTTTAATCTTGTGTTCTCATTGGTTTTTGGACGGTATTTTATTGACTACCACTCCACGTTCAAGACCACGAACAATTCGTGAAAAAATATATTTTGTGGGTATCCGTCTTGCAGGATACAACAATCAATATTTTCTATGCTCGACTCTTATTACTTCTTATGTAATATTCTTGAAGATTTCAACGCTCGTGAACACTAAAAAGCCATTTTTTCTTTAAATAAATGTGGGCGACAACTAAATGTTTAATAAAAATTATTGCGGAAATTGAAACGATTCTACATGTTTACAGGGGTTAGAAAACATTTTGTAATTAGCCATAAGTTCTATTTACTTGTATTACTTGTTGATTTTATATGGAATTTCAGTCATTAATGTTTTTAAAAACTTAGAATAGGATATTATATAGGTTTTGTTAGATTTAAAATAAAAAACACGAGTTGTTACAAAAAATTGGTAAGTAATACCTGGTACAAATTTTTGTAATAAAACTTATATATAGGGTGTCCCACGCCATGACTGTCATAGCTTGGGAATATATGGTTGGGGTGATTTCAAGTTACAAATGTCAGATAAATATATATCGGGAACGCGATTCTAACTGAGCTTCAAGCATTTGAACTTTTAAAAACCATTTAAAATAAACCGCCTTATTTTTTATTTCATTATTTATTTATAATTTATTTTATTCAATTACTTGTTCAAAATGTCCACCCAGCTGCTGTATACATAGTCTGACTCTTCTTAGAATTGAAGTGGTAACTCTGCTAACAGTCTCATGGTCAGCAGGAATAGTTTTTGCAGCATCCATAACTCTAGCCACCTCTGCTTTCAATACTTTCTGCATAGATTAAACTTTTCCTCATAAAAGTAAATCTACGGTATTAAAGTCAGGTGACCTTTCTGCTAAGGAACTGCTGAGGTTTGTATAATTTTTATTGAGAAATTTTGTTACTTGTCGACCAAAGCGAAGAGGTACGCCATCGTGCTGAATCCACAGTCGTTGTCTTACATTCAGAGGAACATCATCCAGTAATGTTGGAAGATCATTTTCTATGAAACGTAAATAACGATTGGCCGTGAGATGTTCTTCAATTATAAACGGACAAATAAGGTCATCAAATATTCACCGAAAATCTATCTTGACAATGAGATTCCCGAGTGTCGTGGATTTTCAAGTGTCCACCAATGTGAATTACCGGTGTTATTGATACCGTTTCATCACTAAATAAGGTCTGACACATCCTTTGATTTCACAATATTCGGCAGGTTTTAAAGCTTGAACAGGTGAGATGTGGTGACTCTCATCCGGCCTATGTTTTTTCAGACACTAGTAGAAGGTTGAGCCTCAATCGCCTCTTCTTGATCATGTTCCTGTTAAACAGGCCGTTAAGGAAGTAGCTGTAGGAAATATACCTGTTTCTCTCAAACATCGATAAATATTGCTTGTAGCGAAACAAATTTATGACATATAGCGGTTACTGTGTTTCTAATTGCGGCTGCGAGTTAAATTATAATTTGATAGAGGGCGCCCTCACCATTAAACGATTATCGTATGGAGCTACAACCAGAGAGAACATGTGGCTTGTTATATAGCCGTATTGTATCAATACACTTTAGCGGACGTTTGCCTGGTCTTTGGTTAAGGTAGGTCGCCTATTTTTTGTGTGGCAAATGCCATTTATAGTTTTTATAACTTATTTTCTTTTGTTGAGGAATTATCTCAATCCGTTTCATTGTAAACCAAATAAAGTTTCCCAACGCTGATTGCGAGTTTTTGTTAGTTCGAAAAAGTAAACAAAGCAAAATTAATTTAAATGTTGTTCAATATAGTGGTTTCTTTTTATATGGTTTTTAAAATTTCAAATGCTTGAAGCTCAATTAGAATAGCGTTACAGCTTATATGTTCATTTGATATTGTTAACTTGAAAGCACTCCAGCAACACACTCCCAAGCTATGGCAGTCAGGTCGTGGGACACCCTGTATATTAAATGATACCGAATTAATTTCCGAAACCAAAAAAGTGCTAAAGCAAGATTTTCTATTTAAAACCTGTATAATATATTTTCGCCATAGATAGGCATAGGCATTAAATATCCACCACGAATCCATAATAAAAATTCCCAATGTTAGTTTTCAAATATATATCAGTATCAAATATATTCGTGATCTAAATCTGAGATATCGAGGTTTGATAACCCCACCACAACTCTCTACCGCATTGCTTAGAAGAAGCTTCTCCTACAGGTGTATAGCCAGTACCATGGACTTCCCCTAACACTAAAAAAACTAAACATACAAAGATTTAAAAGGCAACTAATCCAGTACCTGATGATCAGTACATTAAAATAATAATAACTGAGTTTTATATTTTCTTGTATCGCGCAATGGTTGAAGTTGTTTTTGTTATCGTAAGCCCCACCAAAATTACAAAATTTCACGATTAAACTTTTTAATTCACTTGTTGAAAAAATTCCTCTTCTGTGATATGCTTTTTTTAAGTTTGTAAGTTAGGTAAGATTTAGGGGCTGGGACTTGAACAATTTAATTACCACTCAACTCCTTTCTGCATTATGTTATAAATATTGTTTTTGTATATTTAATTTAGTAATGGAATGTAATTTTTATCATTTTTCCAAACACCACTTTTTTCGCAATCAAAATGGAAAAGTTCTTGTTCCTCAAGAACTAATATGTAATAACAAAAACTACTGAAAATTAAACGAACAATTAGAATTTTTGCAAATATTCCATTAAAAAAAAAAGGTAGTTACGGTCCTGGCACAACGCAAGACGTTGTATACATAAAAATACTATTAATAAAATATATACTTTAGTCGTAAATGGGACACCTCGTACAGTTTTACTAGCGTATCAAACGAAAAACTCCTAACTAAAGCAGAGTTAGGTGTCACCTAGATAGATAACGTCTGCTCGAATGTGACATCGATTCTTTTTAGTCACAGAGACCTCAAGCCTGAGAACCTCCTCTTGGACGAGAAGAACAACATCAAAATCGCAGATTTTGGTATGGCCTCGCTGCAACCGATGGGATCGATGCTTGAAACCAGCTGCGGCTCCCCCCACTACGCGTGTCCTGAAGTCATAAGGGTGAGTGACTCAAACACCCCCGTCCTTGCCGATAACCAAAATTTCATCAGGGCGAGAAATACGACGGTCGCAAAGCGGACGTATGGTCTTGCGGAGTGATCCTCTACGCCCTTTTGGTCGGCGCTCTGCCCTTTGACGACGACAATCTGCGCCAGCTTCTCGAAAAAGTCAAACGCGGGGTGTTTCACATCCCGCACTTCGTCCCGCCCGATTGCCAGAGCTTACTCCGCGGGATGATCGAAGTTAACCCCGAGAAAAGACTCACCGTGAGTGTTTGCCTTACAACTTTTGTCTCAACGGTTCGCCATATTATAGCTTTCCCTTTTGAATTCAGGGCTAAACACAAAGCGTAAAATATCCCATGCGTTCTCTGATCCTCCTCTTTTCTTCTTCTTTTGGCGTATGTTCTCTGCGTATGCGCTCGGTGGTCCGTGGTGACGGACGAATAGTATTTAAGAAGACGCACAAACTTTCACGTAAAATAATTATTATTCTGTAGTAACGGGAATAAATCGTCCGTGACTTAACGAGTGGCGCCCCTGACTGCGTTGCTGCTCCTGATTTGAAACACGATACGTACTTCTTCAACGGTTTCCGTCGCAACTGCCCGCCATTGTTGCTGTTAAGCTTTGTTCCTGTTAAATCGGTAGTTAGAATTTAGATTAGGCCTTATTAAATCGGAGATCAAATTGCCACTTAGCCGAGAATACTGAGGAAATTACATTATCGCTGCGGCTTTTAAGCTCCGATATTGTGTCATTAAGAAGAAATTTGCGGTGCATTTTGGTCGATTTTGGGTCTGAAACTATTTTGTTGATGAAAAAACTTATTGATCCACTTATAATAATTCTCTTATTGAAGTATTAAGGAGAGCAGGTATCAATATCCAGATGCACTAAAGCACCATTTCGATTTAATATTAAAGCATTTTGTACAACTAATTTCATAAAACCCTGATAATAAGGCTTGAAAAAAAAAAGATATATTACAAAAAATGCATATTATCCTTATATTATATAGGTATTAGAGGATTCAGTATTTCTGGGTTCTGAGTTTTATCATTAAAAAAAATCTAAACTAAACTGACTCAACTTTTATTTATTTTTTAAATAAAAAGATAAATTTTAACTTTTAAATAAACAACTAAAAAATAATTAGGTTTATATAAATGCAAGAATTTTCAAAAATTTAAAAGACCAAGGGACCAACATTTGAACATTATGGAGAATAAGAAACACTTGGAAGCAATTTAGTATTTTGTGCAATCTTCATCCGCATCAATCACAGCTTGAAGTGTTCATGATCATGGGTCATGAAAGGAGTAAAGAAGTTTTCTTCATGCGACTACATCCTTCCCATACATCCTAGCTCCCTAGACATAGCTCCTCGCTGGTTTGAGGCATAAAATTTGTATATCGATACAGCCGTTTCACCATTATCACCCCCCCCCCCCCCCCACAACCCCAACGACGTTTCCGATGAGGTTGATGTCAAGTCTGTTACTTGGTCATGGGAAAGTTTCAATTTTGTGGAGAGGGCAGTTGTCTTGGAAAATATAACCATAACGTACTGCAATATGTTAGCATAAATTTGACCAACAAATCTTCCCTCCACCTCCGATACACCGAAATAGCCTTAAGCTCTGTACCTGTAGAGAAATCGAGGGTTCCAACGGTGGTTATCTAGTGTGTCACTTTTTGGAAGACTAGAGACTATCTCAAAACTGCTGCGCTTGTGTTTGATAGTTAAGAGCGAAAATAAGCCGCGCTTGCTTCGGTTGCTTCTTTTCTTGCACTTGATGCGTTAATTCTTCGACAAACTGTGATCTTACTGCCCGACAATTCCCTAATAAACTTTTCTTCCAATTACACTTTTCGTGCCTCGATCAAGAACATTAATTGGGAGGTTCCGCGTGACCCGCCAGTAAAGTATGTTTTACTTACTCTATAAAGGAATAATGAGGGACGATAAGTCAGGTAAGACGGTAAGTGGTCAAAAGTCAAAAACGACAAAGAAAACTTTTAAACGATTGCCCTCCATGGCCTGGGTTTCGAGAAAATACACTGTATACTTAATTTTTCAGTGTAATTATACTCGCGATTGTATACCATCTTTGAACGAGCGGCGAAACTAAATCCAAATACCGAATTAGAAACTAGGTAACTAGGTGCTGCTTAAAGCGTTTTTCGAAGTTTCATTGTCTTTATTTTTGGTTAACAAAACGTTTGGAGTAGATGAATCACCATCCATTTAAGGCGACGAGGCCTATATACCATACAGCAACATTGATGCACTCTATTAAGCCAGATTATAGGTCTTTCCATGCAGCAGTCATATGATCCCAAACTAATTGCCAAGATGGAAGAAATCGGTCCTTTTAAGAGATATCCAACAGAGGTTTAAGGAAATAAAAAACCGACTTGGAAGGAAGACCACATACCAATATTCAAGAAGATTGATAGAGCTTGTGCCAAAATTAGGGAAGGACTTTAGAGGAATCATGAAAGGAAGCACCACAAATTTTAAAAACAACAGTCTGAAACAATAAATAACACCAAGGGATGATGTACAATAATAAATTTAAATTCAAGGAACCTTTCCAATATTGAGCAGCATATGTTGAGCAAAGAACTGAGCCATTGCCCCTCTAAAGACGTTAATGTTAGACATTATAGGCTCCATAGAGACGTTAAAACTTCAAGGATCGCAAAAAAACTACGATGAAAAGTTAGTGTTTTGGAAAAGAAGAAAAAGGACGACGAATATAACTCACGAGAAACAACCAGCCGTCAAAGACTTGCAAAAGAACGTGAACATCCATATTTTCCCAACGGACAAGGGCAACGCCGCAGTCATCATGGATGTGCAGAAATACGACCACAAAATCGACGATACACCTGCTTAGGCAAATAGACAAAGACTATACAAGGCCTACAAGTCCCTACAAGGCCTATTAAAGGAAGAATCTATAGCGCTGCATAAATAGAGACGCTATATTCCGAATAATTCAACTTAACTAACTCCTCATCGCACTAAAGCACCATATTCTTTATACGGCAATTGTTAAACCTAGGGTCTGGCTAGATTTCTTTCTCAGTCATCTTAATTCTTTGCGGCCGTCCATTAAATTTACCGTTGAGAAAGAGAAGAACGGAAATCTACACATCCCGCACAGTACTTAAATTTCGAATCTCACCATTATCAAACAACTAAACTAGGAATAATCCAAATATTCTTTAAAAGAGCAATTACAATATGCAGTGACGAAGCATCACTCAATGTAGAAGTGAGCAGTATTAAAAAGCATAGGCTCCATAATGGCTAGTTGGCTAGCTCAAAAAAGGAACAAAACATGATGAACATGAAAACGGAAAGCAACAGCAAAACGATGTGATGATGCCATCGAATAGCAAAACAATGCAAAGTTAAGACTGCATTCAAGTCCGGGACGAAAGCATATTTACAAGAACTAAACCAAGAGTGTACCGTGCGTTCAATTTATCTTAATAACATTTTAATTGGCTGTTTTTAGAGATATCAAGTTAAACAAAAAAAAACATGTTGGGTTAGTTGCCATGTTTTTTTCCAAATGACGTATAATCAAAACTCATATTTTTTTAATGGAACACATTGTATATTATATATGTGTTATGTATGGAATATTTTATTCTGACTACTAATTTCCCTGCCCTGACTGATAAATAAAAATATGTTTACGTTTGACATATGAGTAAAGAACGATAATGATATTGTTAAAATGGTTTTTTCTGAATTTAGCGTCTATGAAAGGAGTGATTTCCGTCAAGTATACTTTCTGAATAATAAAAGTGCAACCACAGCTATTGCTGAAAACGGTAACGTATTAACTGCTAAAACGGTATGCCGGAATCATAATGTTTTAAATGAAGGAAATAAGGCATATTAGAATTCTATGAAGCACATCCAGTTTCCTCTATTACTAGAGCATATGAAGACAGTTATTTCTCGGGATCAATCCACTCAGTTTTGAAAGAATATAAATATAATGCATTTAAATTTCGTAAAACGCAAAAACTAAGTTCAGAACAATGTCAAAGGAGGAAGCAGTTTTGTTTGGATTTTTTAAATAGACATAATGACATAATCATAATTTTTTGAAAAATATTTTATGGACTGATAAAAGTTTCTTTTACTAGGGGATTGTAATAGACAAAATACGCGATATTGGTCCTTAAATAATCTTAGACAAACAAACGAATAAAAACCCAGGGGTACTAACCTACTAATTAATGTATGGTGTGGTGTTATAGATGGGTATATTTCGGGTCCGAAATTCATAGATCAAAAGTTAACTGTAGATCATTATTTAGAGCATCAAATAGAATCATATACTGAAGATTTACCACAATGTTGTGTAAGTTAAAAATTTTCTTAACTTGGAATATCCTAGGGGTTAGATAAGAAACGGCGGAACTATGGATTGGCCAGCCAACAGCCCCGACTCAACTTTAATGGATTTTTTCTTTTGGGGAAACATAAAAAATCACGTACGCACAACTCCTTGTAATAATGTCGTGGAACTTCGGCAAATGATTTCAGAGGCAATCAGTCAGTTAAGAGAAAATCCGGAAACGTTGCTAAATGCAATGCAATTAGAGTGCGTGAGAAATATGCTCAGGAAAATGGTGGTCACATACACTAGTTACAGAATTTTTTACTTTAGAGTGTCATGTCATTTTTAGTGTTTTTGTTCTACTTTAACTTGTAAATAATTATCGTTGTTGCAGTCAAACACAGCACTTTTTCATATTATATAAAAATTTGGTATTTTTGCCGATTTGTCAAAAACGAGTGGACTAAAATGTGATACATCATTGTAATCGGAATAAGATATTCTATTAAACATCTATAATATACAGGGTATCCCATTTAAAAGAATATAGTGTAGGCTTATATGTCAGAAAATTGATAGTTTTTATACGTTACTTGGAAAAAAAACTTGGCTACTAACCCTACATTTTGTTTTTTTGTTTACCTTGATATCTCTAAAAACAAAAAAGTTACAGCGAATTAAAATGTTATCAAGATAAATTGAACGCACGGTACTTACCAAATACCCTGTGAATGTGGAGAGTCTTATATTTGAGAAACAAAAGACCCTTAAACGTTAGCGTTGAAGATAATAGCAAACACACAATGAGAGGTGAAATCCAAAGGTTGGGAATCGCGGAATATGTATGGACTAGACAAATGGCCCGAAGCTCGGGTTGTCCACAGGGAACTGCATTGGAAAAAGCACAAGTTTAATTGAATTCATTAACAACAATGGAATAATCTTTAGCAAATCAAGCGGAACAACCTCACGCTTGACCGCACCCGGCTCGGTCACGATTGGACGCTGTAGTCTGATATTGGCTAGTGATACATCTAGCCGAAAGGTTGTGTAAAGAAAAAATAGAGACAATGGAAGTTCCACAATCTCTTGGTATTTTTACTGTACTTGAGATCTTGAGGCATCACATCTGCAGAACTCATCAAACGATCATTCTACTGACTTAAATAAAGGCGTCAATTTCTTCTCACTTGCTAGTTGACCGACATCAACAAACACCCGTGGGTAACCGCGGGTGGCAAGGGCGAGCTCGAGCTGGAACTGCCGATGATGGAGGTCGTCCAGACGCACGTGTTGCCGTCCATTGATGCCGTAGATCCGGACGTCCTCCAGGCCATATGCAGTCTGGGTTGTTTCAAAGAGAAAGAGAAGTTGATCCAGCACCTTCTCAGTCCCAGGTAAGCTCTTCCGGAGACGCGCGGGGGGCAATTCAAAAGACGTTTCCGTAGTCACAACACGGAGAAGGTGATCTACTTTCTGCTGCTGGAACGGAAACGCAGGCGCCCGGCGTTCGAAGATGACACCGATTCGGTTTTGAGAATCAGGAGCAACGAGTCTTCCGATCCGCCGAGGAAGAGGATAGATACGTGCCGGGTCAATGGGCAGAGCACTTTTCAGTTCGGTCAGATTAGCGAAGGGTCTCCTTTAACTCCACGAAGGTCGCACTACAAGTAGGTTTCTGTCCCTTTATCACCAGGGTGTGTTTTCGAAAACTGTGTGGTTGCAGACGGCATCACGCGCGGAGGAGTCCTTCTACCGGCAGCACACACAGCAGCCTGAGCATACACTCCCCCACGCGATCTTCAGGCTCCTCTAGTCCCGTTATGTTTAATAGTACGATTACACCAGCCAACACGCACTGTAAGTATGGCTTAGCTTTGGATTAAATCTTCTTCGACACTTTTAGGTGCAGTTTTGTGGCGTTTCGTGAATAGTAAAACATCGTTTCAATCAAAAGCTGCTAACTGTAGCGATTGGAGGGAAAATTTTAACTAAACAACGGGTGTTATTGAAATAACGTCATGTAATTTAACGAACCCAAGAAATCACTAATGGTCAAAATACAATGGTGGCGGCCTGGTATTTTGGAGCAATAAAGGTTGCCATGGAGCCGGATTTAGAAGACTAATTATTTTGTTTCTAACACCACAAAGAGTCCCATATAAATTTTCTGCGAGGACGTTGCTAACCAACAAAATTTAAAGCCCAAAAAAGACTCAGTTCAATTATTAGTTTTCCTTTATTTTCCATTGGGTTAGCTGTTATTATTATTAGTGTTAAGAGAACCGGAAAAAAAAGAGAATTTTCCAAAAAAAGGATAGATACAAAAGCTCTATAGTAGTCGTTCAACAAGTCAGGGTTTCATTATTTAGTCATTCTGCAATCCTGTCTAATATCACCTGTTTAATGATTGTTGGTGATTTTTTTTACTACATCAACTACAAGAACTTGTAATTCATTCTAGATTGGACTGCATTCTCTATATCACAATGAAAGAAATTTTGGACAAAATAATATTTCAAACAAACTCCCACAGGCTACTGTAACGCCCTTTTACAAATCTTCTGGTTTCTGCTCTGCATAAATATAAACGGCGGACGTCGAAGTAAGCAAACGAACTACTGACAGTATAGGGACAGGAAGGGAAAATGTGTTTTATTCGTAAAAAAAATCTGTAAAGTTGACGGAAACCTAGCACATCGAAGACAAAACTTCTTAATCAGAATGAAAAAAGAGAAAAAAAAAGATATTTAAATTATTCATTTCAATAAGTATCTGTTTACAAATTAGACGTTTTTCCTTTATGAAAATTAGCGGAACTTCCTACCGTTCCTATGTTCCTATGTTGGTGTTAGAGGGTTGATGACGAGTCTTTGCCAGACCTAGCTCAAGTTAAAGTGGGAGTATTTCAAGGTGGTATTCTCGGCCTCCTTGTATACAGGATATTCAGTTTATACGCTAGCGATATCTATATTTATACCTCTTTCCCCCCCTTCCCAAAAAAAAATACTAACTTGGGCAATTTTCCAAAAATTTGTGACGTGCATCTTCTTCGCGTAAATTTATGACATGACGATATGTGATCATCTCTTCCTCCTTTCTTTCTTTTCTCCTCATTTTTAATTTCTGCGTCTCTTCTGTTGAGTCGTTAATTTTTTGGGTTTAGTTGGTTTCAACAAAACCTTCTCTTGAAAGAAAACTGGCGAATGGTAAAGACCAATATAGAGGTGTAAGAGACAGAAACAATATTTTTCACCCAGAAAACGAAGACGTGACTGTTGATCCAGCCTATCATTTTCTTAATTAAGAAGAGATTATAAAAATAGTTGCTTGTCCTTTGATATAAATGATTTTCGGGTGTTTTTTGTGAAATCAATTTGAATCTGAAGGTTGAGCGTGAGCGTGAGGTTAGAAGTTCTAATGGTAGGTAGGTATTTTCACGCTTAGTTACTAAAGATGTCCATTGTTTTTAATGAATACAGGTTCCTTAAACTTGCATTTTTTTTCAATGCGGTTGTCTTGTTTGGTCCCCATACGTGTTTTACGATTTGGCATTTGGATTATACTCCTCATTGTGTGTTTCCCATGTTCTTCAATTTTAACGCTTAGAGGTCTTTAGGTCGCAGAAGTACGAGCCTCTATATTCACACTCTTTCTTTTGAATCGATGTTTTTGCCTTCGTTTTTGGAAGTTTGTTATTTAATGCCGTCCCGGACATGAATATAATCTTAACTTTGTATTGCCTCGCTATTCGACTGAACTTCTCTGCTTAATTCTACACCCAGTAATGCATTGTCATTTGTTCGCGATTGATCTTTTACAGTGTTTGGATGATTCCTAGTTTGGTTGCTTCATTAAGGTTAGACTCCAGATTTAAATACTGTCCGCTATGTGCAAGTTTGCCTATATCCAGAGGTGCTGACAAAGAAACTATTTTTATTTGCTAGGACATTTGGAAACGATAAGCAGTCATTCTTCTCTATCTAGGAGTCTAACTTAGATAGGTTAGATTATAAAGGTATCGTCAACGTAACCAAGCCACACCCTACATTCATTTCATTTCATATATAATAATATGTACACTACCATCGGAGAGAGAGTGGAACCCATCGGTAGGCCTTCATCCGGTGCGTAAAAATTATCTTTGACTTTAAAGAAAGATTTATGCAGACAGCGCCTAAGGAGCTGTAGCAGTAGCGGAGTTCTGTCTGTAAGTGTTGTATCTTATTTCAATCTAGCTTCGACAATGTCTAACGAATCATTCAAATGCACGTTTTTGTATATACTACCCACGTCAAAGCTAACAAACTTGTCTTTTCCATTTTTTTAAATTTGTACTAGAGCTAAGTGGTTTTATCAGTTCAACTATTTCCGGTCCTTGCAGTTGCAATGCTTATGGAGCTTATAATGTCTCACAATGGTGTGTTTTGAGGGGCAAGGGCGAAGGTAAATCCTTTGTTTTTCAGTATTGGAAAGGTTGGTCGAAGATAGATTGTTTCATTTCTTTGTTGTTTGTTTTGAAGTTTTGTATAAGTATATATGTTTCGTAGCCTTAGATTAAAATTAGTCTGCACTTATTAACGGGTAGTGATACATCTTCCAATTAACAAATCTTTTGAATTCCTCCTGCGTCTGATGTTGCTACCTTGCTAACGTTTCGCCAATCTTTTTGTTGGCTTCTTCAGAGCTTAAATGAAACTGATTCTGTACCTGCTTATATATTATTTGAGGGGAGCGGACCTAAAGGAGGGGCATGAATATTGTCTCGGATGACTGATTCCCTTATTGGTGAACGGTAAATACCCTTTAGAATTGATTGATTGCTTATAGATTTCTACGATTTTTTTTTGGCAGAAGAATTGATTACATGCAAGAATTTCAGTTTTTTTTTATATTTGAGAACTTTTGTGGTCAGTCATGGTTTAACTGTAAGGAAGAACAGCAGTGGTAACTGTGGGGTTGCTTTCGGAGTCATTGTCTTTGGAAGGTTGTAGTCAATTGCATTTTGTGATGCAACGCTGAATATCTATAATGTGGAAACTATTAGAGTGAAAAGCAGATGTAAGGTGTTTTAATTATGGGTTCAATAACTCGGGCTGAGATAGGTTTACGGCTCTGTGAACAAAAGAGTTGATAACAAATGATTTTTAGGCCAGATGGCGATGTGACAATGCATTAAGGTATCGTGTTGCATTCTATATTTCTTCTACGCGCTTTAGTTTTTGGTTACATTTTTGCAAAACAACACGAATTCAGACTGACATGACCGTCAACATTCGTGCGATAATATTTCGGAAAACATTCGATTCTTCCCAAATCCGTGCGGTAATATCCCGGAAAAATCCGAAGTCGCTGGGATCTATCGGAAACGAAACTATCGTGGTGAAATGACAGAAAGAAGAAAGTACAGACGTGGGTGAAAAAACAGAATGGCCCAATATCTAGGAATGGGAGATTATAAGTTTCTAATTTAATTGTAGATGTATGTTATGGTGGTATGGTGGTATGATAAAGGTAGCGTTGCCGTAATTTTGGTGGGAGATGTCACGGTCATATAGACAGTAATTCCGAATTTGGTGGGAGTTGCTAACAAGTCACAAACATACTTTTTGTAGGTTGAACAATATTACAACTTCCAAAAGCTCACTTTTTTTATAACTTTCTGCCAGTGGCTTTGAAAAAAAAATGAATCGTCCAGTTGAATAACCCCTAAATTTACGCTGTCGCCCTTCGCGATCACATTTGGGGCAATTAATATTTTATCGCGACCCTATTCGTCCTACGCGCTATCCCATTAGCGGAACGGCAATTTATTAACCGCTATTTTTAGCAGCCATGTCGTCCCCGATCAGTCAGAGAATCCCGTCCCACCACGTGGCGGCAGCGGCCGCCCTGCGTAACTCGACCCACGTATCGTCCAATACCCACGTGACCGTGACCCCGCCTCCGTCTACTCCCACCCATCACCGGGCGAATAGCAGCGGCGGCTCGTCGAATAGCCCGTCTCTGACGTCACCGGACAACGACACAGCCGGTCTGGTCGTCAGCCCAGCGATTTTAACCCCGATGACGCCTCCCGGTTCGCCGCATCTGACCGCGACGAGCCACCACTGGCGGTCGAGGTTGACGACCATCAAGAATAGCTTTTTAGGATCGCCGCGTTTCCACCGCAGGAAACTCCAAACGTCCACCGAAGAGGTGCACCTCACTCCGGAGTCGTCGCCGGAACTCACGAAGAAGTCGTGGTTCGGTAGTCTGATGACGACGGAGAAGGACGAAACGTTCACGATTTTGGTCAAGGGCAAGCCGCTAGCGACGGTTAAGGCTGATTTGATCCACGCGTTTCTATCGGTATGATAGCGATGAGGAATTTCGGAGGTGCGATATCAAGTGTTGGTTTCAGATAGCGGAGTTGAGCCATTCGGTGTCTAGTCCGATGTCGTTTAGGGTGGAGTACAAGCGGGGCACCACGGGACCGGCCATGTTCCAACGCCACGTGCGGTTTCAAGTGGACATCTCTATTATTACCAAGCAAGTGGAGAACTCCAAGGAGCACCTCTACGCCATTACTTTTACTCTATTATCAGGTCAGTAATAGTCTTGGTATGCATACCGCATTAAAGAGAAAAAAATGATAATTTTGGCTAGTGAGGAGAAACCTTTAATTTAATAAAAGCATCACATAATAATTGACTTTGAGAACGTAGATAGTTACCAGGGTCAAGGAGCTTGGAAAAAAATACCCCGTTCTTTTAGATGCTGATTTTTAGTTATTTTCACTTTTTTTATTTGATTTTAGCCAGGTTGTCTTTCAATGCACATTTTACTGCTCCTTACGTGACTAGAGGTTTAAAAGGGAATATCAACAACTTCTTATCCATTCAGATTGGACCAACAATTTCTTTGAAAACCATTAATAAAAGTAACTAACCAAAACTAATTACTTCACATATTCTAGAGCTTATAAAATTTTGGAAAAGTTGTTTGAATTTTGTCCGATATTGTATGATATGAAAAATTAAATGCTTGGGTTCATTTTGAAGGAGTGCCCAAGACATCACCGATATTTCAGCATTAAGAATCTCACATTTGACCGTAGTACGGTTCCATCTGGAGTATGCCCCTTGCGCGTGATCTCCCTTTTATGCGGAACTGCTGGCTAAGCTAAATTCATTACAGTGAGCCTCAAGCGAAGAAAATCTGATAATATCAACCTAAATTCCATAAGTTCATCATAAAATCTTCATTCAAATTCCACCTAGGAGTACACATCTATTACTCACTGCGGGTAAAATATTTTTATTTTCAGATCAGAATTTCCAGTGATCACTACTAAATTCACTTTTTGTTCCTCTTAACATCCTCCTGCGTTAGGTTCTCCAGTTAACATTGCCAGTTATTATTTTTTATGTTTGTTTTAGTTGTCTATTTGTTGAATATTCCTATTATTATTTTTAGACTTATTATTGATCTAAATTTTATTTTGTTTAGTTGTTCAATTTGATTTAGTTGATATCCAACCCAGCATTATTCTTAATTTACTGTAAATTGTAAGTTTATATCTCTGTCTCTGTCTCCGACTATCAAGAATGTCCATTCTCTTATTCTATCCATTCTTCCTTGGATTATGGTAGCTGGTAAAGAATAAATGGTAAGCAAATTTCGTTGGTGGTGAAAGCGTCTCAGAACTTCATCCTTATCTCGAATGAATCCAGTTTTTCGATGTTTTGGAGTCCAAATTTCCACCTGACCAAACAACACTCTATGAACCTCAATGCGAAGTCTAATGGTTCTATTTGGGAACTTTTAAGAGTATTTGATGCATACTTTTTTTATTTTCTACTCCGATCTTAATTTCTTAGTATGGATCTTATTGGTAATTTATTGTAATTATATGTTTACGAGAACAGCATTAGTGATTAGATTTTTAATTATGATTACGAATTTAATTGTTACGATGTTTATTTTGAGTCTCCTTCTAAGCCAGTTTGATTAACTCTCTCTAATAATTCTTTTTCACCTGTCTTCAAGAGTTGTGCAAAACACCAACTGTGAGGATAAAACGCATTCTTGTCTGACTCTCCTCTTTATATTGTGATTTTGTCAGTCCCTACATCCTCAATACTCAATAGTCAAGTTCGTTCGTTTATATGTAAAACTAAAAATTTCCACAGGCAACATTCGAAGATTTCGAAGGGTATGCGAACATATTCAAGCGCAGGTTTGCACCAGGAGGCCGCCGCCCAGTCCCAGGGCCCAGAGGAAATTCACGACGGAGCTCAGCGAGAGCAGCAGCTGCGGTTCCGACTCCAGCGAACTCTATTTGAACGCACGCCAGGTAAATGCTTTGGTGTAGAAAAATAAAAAAAAATGTGTAAAAAAGACGGAGAACACATGAAATGACAATTAGAAGGCGGAACAACTAAGTTCCCGTTTCTGAGATGCTTTATTAAGTAATAAGTTTCCCACAACACGTCGGAATTGTTCGCCAATCATCCCATTGACTTCTTCGGAGCTTAACTGAAACTGGATCGCACTCTGTTTTAGACATGTTTATGTAAGTCATACAGTAACCGCAGATTCGAGACATCCAATTATACCACTCCAGCCAAGAATGCTTTAACAAAATGTGGCTCGTTAAAAAGGTGTTGAATTTCAATTTATTATTCATTTTATAGTTTTGTCAGTTTCGTAGGGGATTATGTCAAATTCTGGAAGAAGGGGGGTTTAGACTGTGAGAAATCTGAATTTGCACACGATTCGATTGGAAATTGAATAAGGCTTTGACTCAAAAAAACCCGAACAAATAAGACTCGCCTTTTGCAGACAGCGGATGTCAATAGACGTTTTGTTTATTGATTCAGGATTTGACAATTAAAAAAAGGATACCTTGTTTCGTACGAATACTCCTTAAATTTACAATAATAGTTCAATATATCGAGTAACAAGTAACAGGAACGATTTCATTATCTTATTAACTATTAACCTGAATACATTTCCATATTCCCGTATTTAAATGCTGTCTTATTTTAAACAAGTTAGCGTCTATTTTGCAAAGGGAATCAACTTTTTTATGAATCTTCTCTAGCCGTTTCTCAGGCGATGTCCTTTCTTCCTTATAAACTAAGCCCTTCAAGTAACCTCAAAAGTAGAAATTCATGGGAATGAGTTCGGGGCTATGAGCTGGAGAAGGATATTTGCTACCACACTCTATCCATCTATGTAGGAACCTTTTATCCAGGAAATCTCGAACCAATCAAATATAGGTAGGTGTACCATCCTGTATATACCATATGTTTTGCCTAATTACAAATGCACCATTAAGTCGAAAATGAAAATGTCTTTCTCTCAAATGAAGGTTCTCTTCTCTGGAAAAAGTGGCTTGCTTCGTAAACAATATCTTGCTGAGAAAAGCAGAATGAATTTTACTCTATACACCCTAATATTACAACTACCATTGAATTATAAACTATTACAATCTTTTGTTAACAGAAAATCAGAACTAACATTCGGTCATTAATTTTACAGAAAAACTACGCATATAGACTATACTTTATTACATTATCGGTTATCAACTATCTTTTTTACAGAGCTAAAAGACCTGCCATTCCCTCAAATAATTTCCAAATTCGAGATACCAGTTACAAAATACACTTAACCACAACCTCCCAAACAAAAATCAGTCCGGAAGCTGTGTGCTTCCTTACATTCATAACATTACTGTCGATGTCAAAATCAGATTTACCACTTGTCCAAAAATCTCTCAACACCTGCGAGCCACCAAAGATCATATTCCGTTTTGAAAAACTAGAAGTGTACTGCCACTGTTCTTCCTTTCATTCACAACATCACTGATCAAATATCAAAATCTCTCAACACCTTCGATCCATGAATGACAAAATTCCTTTTGAGATACTAGGAGTTTAAAGAATTCCATGCACATGCGGCAAAAAGTACATTGGAGAGACAAGACGAAAAATATCAACTAGGTTGAAAGAACATGAAAGACCCTTCAAACCACGGTAATTATATTCATCAGCAGTTGCCGAACCAATCATGAAACCGTCAAACCTTATTCGACTGTGATAAAATTCTTGCATGTAATGGTACTATCAAAGAAAAATGCAGGTATCCCTAGAAATCTCCTAATAACTAACCAAACAATCTTAACTGCAATTCCCGTCTTTACCTCTCACCAGTCATCCGATACAGTATACGTATAGGGGTGCAGGTATAGAGTAGAATGCAAACCAGTGTCATTTAAGCTGTGAAGAAGCCAACAGTATGATTGGCAAAACGTCAGCAACAAACGACGCAAGAGCAATCCCGAAAATTTGATGTAAAATAACCTTCAATTACTAGTCACTTATGTCACATAGGGGCCATTTTTGTCATTTAAGAGTTTCGTGGATTTATTTATTTTTATTTAGCGTATGGCATTACATGCAATGTATAATACAAGTACAGATCTAAGAACAATCACGAATAATTACACAAATGTAAAAAGATAAAAGCTATAATTCAATGTCAAGGTTTGTTATCCATTCCAACGCCGATGCAGATACCTCCATAAAGTCAAGCCAGCTTCCCGTGTATAAGCGTAAGGAACACTCGCTATGAATATGCTGGATGGTCTGTCTTGGTGCTCTACAGTCACATTCTGGTGATGCTGTTTTCCCCCATCGGTGTAACGAGTCCGCGCACCTTCCATGTCCGGTGCGTACCCGGTTCAGGGCTGACCATTGCCTTCGGTTTAGGTCGGTTCCCGTAACGTTGCAATTATAAGTTGCGAGCCAGTTTTGAAGAACATCACTTGCTTTCAAACTCCATTCGCGCTTCCATTGGTCTTTGGGATTATAGCCATCATTTTGGAGTGCTTCAGCCAGATATAATGACGGTTTTCTGGACTTTAGTCTTCCGTGTCTCAGTTGTGGGAGATCTTTATGAATTGGTAGTGCTGCGTTTAGGATAATTTTTCTATATTCGCGTAGAAGGGCCTCATTTCTACGAATTTCTGCCGGTAATATGTTGCATAGCACTGGCAGCCAGTATGTAGGTGTAGACTTAATAGTACCGGATATCAGCCTCATTGTGCTATTTAGTTGTCTGTCAACAAGTCTGGAGTGACAGCTATTGATCCACACTGGAGCGCAGTATTCGGCCACGGAGAACGCAAGGGCAAGCGAAGAAGTGCGTAGTGTTGTTGCGGTTGCGCCCCAGGTGGTTCCACATAATTTTTGGATTATGTTATTTCGGGTTGCTATCTTTGCTGCGGTATTCTCCAGGTGTTTCCGATAGGCGAGCGTGCGGTCCAAAGTCACTCTCAAATATTTAGGGTGCCTGTTATGATTCAAAGTGCCATCCCCCAGCTGCACTTCTGTTCGTGCGTTTGCCATTTTATTATTAACATGAAATGTTGATGTTTCTGTTTTGGCAGGGTTTGGTATCAGTCTCCAATTCTTAAAATATGTATGTAGTCTGGCCAGGTCGTTGTTGAGAATGATTTCTGCAGCGTCAAGAGATTTGTGCCTAATAGTCAGTGCTATGGCGTCCGCGTAGCAGAATTTTTTCCCCTCTGTCGCTGGAAGATTTGATATGTAAAGATTAAACAAAAGGGGAGCCAAGACAGACCCCTGCGGGAGACCATTATTTATTATCTTGGTGTGGCTAATTTTGTCGTCGAGGACCACATTGAAGCACCTATTGCTCAGCATGTTTTGTATTAGACGGGCTGTTGTTTGGCATGGTATGGCTCTCAGAAATTTGTAGCTCAGTCCCTCCCTCCAGACCGTATCATAGGCTGACGTCAAGTCCATGAACACAGCGGCTGTTTTTAGTTTTTGTTGGAAACCCGCTTCTATGTGCGACGTCAATGCCAGCACCTGGTCACAGCAGCTGCGGCCCGGTCTAAATCCTGCTTGCTCAGGAGGCAGGTATCCCGTAATGGTGCTACCAATTCTGTTATAGAGGAGGCGCTCAAGTAATTTATACGTGCAGCTGAGAAGAGCAACTGGTCTGTAGCTTTTTGGCTGATCAGCAGGTTTTCCTGGTTTCAGCAGGGCTATTATTTTAGATTTTTTGAACTCCTTCGGCAGTTCCCCTGTCTGCATAATGTTAGAGAACTGCGCGAGCCATTTTACCGTGTTTTTTCCGGCGTAGCTAAGAAATTCCGGTTGGATGCCGACAAAACCAGGAGCCTTGCCCAGTTTTACATCTTTAATTGCAGTGTTGACCTCATTATCTGAGAATGGTTTGGAGAAGTTTGATTCATTTTGATTCATTCGGGGATGTTCTTTTTAATGTTTTTAATTCTTCCTTGATTTTTATTGTATGTGCTTTTTGGCGGGGAGCCCTAGATGTTGCCACGATCCTATTAGCTATCTCGTTTGGTGTGAAAGACATGTTTTTGCTTGTCTTAGTTGTAGATCCGGAGTTTCGTGGGTATTTACGATGATAAAAGACACCAATAAAATAACATAGCGCAACAAACTCTATATAGATACCTATAATAGATACCTAATGTAACTAATTTTATCACATACCATTATCACAATCTGGATCAGTGTCACTTTCAGATATTTCAGTAATCTCATTTTATTCACCGAAATCTTCTTCGGAACTCTCTTGCACTCGAGAATTAAATTCATTAGCCGAAGGTCCCAAGGGGTTTTCCAAATTATTATTAATTGGATTTAAATTATCGTATGTTAATTCTCGAGCGCGCCCAATTGTCAATCTATTTCTCCGTTTATTGCGGATAAACCCTTGGCTACTGAATGATCTTTCTGTGGATGAAGTTCATAGCGTTGCAAGTACAGCGATAGCTATTCCCCTTAAAGGGAGATTTGTGCATATCCCATTCCAAAAATTTGTTGGAGCTAGTTTTGGAGTTTTCATTGAAATCTTGACGAAATGTAAAACCAAATTTCGTCTTCAGTGCGATGTTTTGAAGAACTTCATCAACATCAATTTCCGAGTTTCAATGGGAGGAATATTTGTGAATATATTGGAGCCCGCATTTAGGTTTTTGCAATTATAGCGAGGGTCCAAAATATTTGCGGCAAAAATATATGGGATTCAAGGCCATATATCTTCTCTGGTCTAGAATATCAACCCACTTTCAAAACAGTATTTTCTTTCTTTCAATGCTTCAACTACCATACTCAATTTAGCATCATGGGACTACTTCTTAATAAAAGCAAAAATAACTGAATATTTATTAAATTTAATCCAAAAAGATATCATCATTAAGAATATTGTGTCGATCGTTTCTAGCCAAATCATATACTTTATCACTTTCTCTCATCAGTTTTGACTTTCTCTTGATTGAGTACATGCGACAAACAGTGATGCGACAAGCAATCGGAACCTCTGAACACAAGCAACAATTCTATTCGGAGGAATTTTATCAAATACTTCACTTATCTTCTGGCTCATGTATTCTCTATTTTCCCCCGTTGAAAATGTTTTATAACATACAGGCTTTGCTGGAGTGACTATAAAATTAATAACACTTTCTTTTCATATGCTTGTCTAAGTATCGCATTCCGCACCAATGAACGGATCGGGTAAGCAGCTGCAATGAAGGCCGGATCAGCTTGAAAGCCTTTATCTAATATTTATTTCCAATTATACTGATAGGAGTTCCCTAAGCAATATGTTTCCAAATAGCCCCTTGTTCCTGTTTTGAGATACTATCGCAAAATGACTTAAGCGACGAAAAGTAGTAGTTTTTACTGGAAGTGGAGTAAAATTGCCGTCTTCATACTAATTATTGTTATTTGTCGTATTTCTGGAAAGAAGGTGAATTATACGAGTTTCTGTTTATTACTAGCGATTTTCATGGCAAAAAGCAACCTAACCCAACTTTCACACTTTGCAAAACATTTACCTTTTATTCTGAGCAAATTTCTCAAATGTTATTTTATAAAATATTTACTGCCTGATATCAAATTAGAGGATACAACTTATCTTTTATTGTACAGCAGCTCCTAAACCAAAAGTTCGATAACAAAACATTATATTTTTAAATGACCGATTGGTCACAATCGAATGTGAAGTGACCATCATGTGTCCAGGTTATATCACTGGTTCGGTCCCCCTTGCTTCACCTATACAATGAGTAGTAGGTTTGATGGCTTCACCGTCCACCGTCCGCCAGGAGAATATGATTCGGCATCCGTTCAAATTCTATTTGTCGATGAGCGCCAAAGAATGGCTAAGTGCCGAAACCGATACCAGAATGTTGAGCGGTGCTAAGTTCTAGGTCAGAATGTTGATGCGTATATTGGCATTAGCGACTGGTCAAAATGAGGCAGGATATAAAATACAGAATTATAGTGTTTTTACATACGACTCCGTCATTAACTTCGCCTACTGTTTATTACTCCAAAACCGCAGCTCCCTATAGAACACCCTACCGAGCAGACCCTTACCCGTAACCATTCCAGGACCGTCCTAGGAAATTATCTACCTACACTAACAAGCGGGATGTAAGTATGTTTTTAATCTTGTTCGCCGAGTCATTTTTGAAACATGTACATAAAAAAATAGTACAAAGTAACAATTTATTATATTCTATATCACTTGTTTTACTTCCCTTCTGAATTTATTATAAAAGTATAAACATTTAAAACAATTTGTTTAGCGTCCGAAGACAACTGGATCCGTTTTTTTATTTGCTGAAGTAGGTCGTCTTCTAAATTGTCATTAGATTCGACTACCATCTCCACTTCGTCTTCAAATTCTGCGTTGTTTTCCATGCCTTCTTCTAACAGGGGAACATCTGCTTCATTTCACGATCTCCACATTTTAAAGTGTTAAAAAACAGGAACCTTCAAAAAATGTTTAATTGTAAGATTCTAATAAATATTTATCTATATTCTTATGACGTACCTTTATCTACCGCGAATATAATTTATAGTCTTAAAAAAGAGTGCTGTTGTTTAAAAATCAAAGAATTACGTAGAAGACACAAAAATACAAGAATCGACAGGCATACAAGACAAAAATGATTATTTTCAAACTTACCTGTAAAAAAAAGGTGCACCTCTGAACTATCCAGTGAAAACAGCCTCGCTTCTTAAGAGCGATACATATTACCCTGATGTTAAAATAATCATCAAGGACACAATAAAATAAAATAAATATTTAATCATATATACCAACTTTCAAAAAACTGATGGTGCATTTGGAAATTCATTTTTTCAGTTGCCTTGTTATTGACTTTTTTCATAAAATTTAATAGTTCCTTTTTGTCGCCTTTGAAAAAGAAATGAAAAAAAAAAGGTTTATCGTGGAATTTTATGAAATTAAAATTATATACACGTCCTGAAAATTGCACGGTATTTGAACAAAGGATAGATGGTCTCGATATACAATTTTAGAATCGGTGATCAATTTTTAATAATTTATGCAAAAGTGACAAAAAGGTACTACAGAATTTTAACAAAAAAAAGACGAAACATATCAACTGAGAACTAGATTAAGGTTTTCAAATTGAATTGAATTTTTATTTTACTTTTTGGCGTTAATTTACTTTTGACCGGTATCGTATATTGTTTCATTTCTGAGGTATAGAGTGAAACTGATTTTTGATAATACCCATATATATATCACATAAATGATAAAAGGAAAAAAAACAAATTTGTTGCGGTTTAATAAAGATACAGATTTCGCCAAAAAACCTTTTTTGATTTACAGGGTGTCATTGTACTTATTCTGAATGGATGAGATCTTTACTTATCACCGTTTTCGAGATTACTGGTTGATTTAAAAAAAAATCTATGCAGTTCTCCTTGATCATCGTTCTCGAAATACAAAAAACACCTTTTTCAACCCCCTTCAACCCTTAAGTATCATAATGTTGTATTGTCATGGGAACTTAATTTGCATCTATGCAAAATTTCAGCGGACACAATAGTGGTATCACTTAAAACGAACACCTTGTAATAAGTCTTAATATGCATTAAGCTCCATCCCTCATGAGACTCCCTATTATACAAATTCATACATACATACATACATATAGGTAGATGCCATGCCTATCTTTATACCTTGTAGGTAAAATAAAAAAGTTAAGAAAATGTCAAATTCGTAGTGAAACAATCCTGTAGGTAATAGGAAAATACTTAAAATTCGTATTTAGGTACATATTAATTCTAAAAACACTTTTAAAAAATGTACTTGTAAATAAGTCTTAAAGGGTTTTGCTGGCTTCTTATTCTCCAGGAAGTAGACGTCTCGCTTTCATATTGAACCATCCACTCTATTACATCATTCTTATTTTTCATCTTGCCTGAACTTGCTCTAAACACTTGTTCCGTAATTTTTTTTAAATGTTTCATATTATTTATATTATTTACACATGTGCAAATGCGTTGGTGTTAATTCATGCTAGTAAGAGAAGCTCGCGTTCATGCAGATAAAGGGTGTTTTTTTCGATGTATAGAAGTTTAAGTTGGCATTTATGTTCAAGATGGCGACCGATTTAACAGCTGTCAAGCGATTTATTCTCAGTTTGGTTTGGCAATTCATCATGAATAGACTCACGCCTGAACAACGCTTGCAAATAGTGCAATTTTATTTCGAACATAATGGTTCTGTGCGGAATACGTATCGCGCACTACGTCCATTTTATCGTTGACAAAATCGTCCATCAGAGCAGTTAATTCGATTAACTATGGAACGTTTTCGCACCACGTTTACTCGTATTGATAACTCGCATCCCCAGAGATGCCGTACGGTGCTTACAGAAGAAGCTATTGCTGCTGTAGAGCGTAGCATTGAGGAAGATCCGAATGAGTCCATCCGCCATCGAGCACAGGAATTGGATCTGTGTCCATTCACTTTATGGAAGATTTTTCGGAAGGATCTTGGTTTACGTGCTTACAAAATCCAACTCGTGCAAGAATTGAAGCCAAACGATCATCAAGTAAGGAGTAGATTCGTCGAATGGGCCCAAAATGGAATTGCCGTTTTCCCGATTTTCATAAGCGAATTTTGTTTAGCGATGAAGCGCATTTCTGGTTGAGTTAAGATGTGGTTTCAACAAGACGGCGCAACATGTCACACAGCTCGCGAAACAAACGATTTATTGAAAGACACGTTTGGTGACCGCCTAATTTCACGTTTTGGACTTCTGAATTGGCCTCCAAGATCTTGTGATTTAACGCCGCTAGACTACTTTCTGTGGGGCTATGTAAAGTCATTGGTCTATGCGGATAAGCCACAAACGCTTGACCATCTGGAAGACAACATTCGCCGTGTTATTGCCGATATACGGCAACAAATGTTGGAAAAAGTCATCGAAAATTGGACGTCCAGATTGGACTACATCCGCGCCAGCCGTGACGGTCATATGCCAGAAATCATATTTAAAATATAATGCCATAAGATTATCTTTCGGATAAATAAAATTCATGTCAATCGAATAATCCATCGTTGTTTTATTGCAACTTAAAGTTCTATATATCGAAAAAAAACACCCCTTATTATAAAGCTACAAAAACAAAACAATCTGCATTTCTGCACCTTTCAACATTTTATCGGGTTCGGCATGTTCGCCTTTGAGTAATCCAAAGGTTGAAATCAACGAATAGAATTTGAGCGGGTACGGTCTACAGATGGCGGCATCGTTTAGATGTTAAGTGGTGTCTCACCGTACAGATTTCAAATCTGGTGTTTTAAGATCTTCTTCGTCGCAGGTAAACGTTCTCCAATTGGAGAGCAGCGACTTGGAGAGCGAATGCAGCGTGTTCGACGTGCGTACGGCCGTCAGAGACGTGTCGAGGCGAGCGTCGACCAACAACAACACGGAATGCGAGCAGAACGCACCGGGCACGCCGAAAGCGGTACGGTCGAGTTCGGAAAACACCGACCCCTGCGAGAAGGCTTGCATCACCACCATGTCGGGCAGTTCGATCGCGTAATATTTGTTTTCGTAGGCTATGTAAATTTTCCAGATGTCGGTTTCTATATACAAATCACTTCGGATTGATTCGAACAAGTTAATTTAGGAACTAACGTAAAACGATTCAAGGGAAGGGAGAAATACAAACGACACGTGTATCGAACAGCGTCGATACGAGAAATAAAGGTGCCTTTACAGATTTGTGTAAGGTGCGATTGAGTGAGAACTAAAATAAACACTTAAACTTCAAATATTTCGCTTGCCTTGCTTATATACAGGGATATTCAAGCAAAATACAATGCTTTCCAAACAAATTTACTTCTCTTATAAATGGAGTCCTGTAGGAAAGGAGTGTAGCCTACAAAACGGCACTTGGACCTCAGAAAGCCCGTTGGAACGGAATACTTAGCTTTTCATCAAGCCTAGTATCTCCACATAGGCGATGACAGCTAAAAGCGTCTTCACCTTGATTATCCTGTTCGCACCCCCCCTGTGCGTAGGGTATTGCCTAAACCCTAAATTGGTGTTTATTACGTAATGACAGTTCTCCTTTATCGTTTCTTTAATGGCTGACGTCAAGAGAGAATCTATAAAGTTCAGTCTGGCAATCTTCCTCACCAGTTGGCGGAATGATTACATTATCGAATACGTCACGTGCTAGTGCTAGTTCCGACGTATGTATATGTAAGGAATTTTTAAATAATTTGAGTTTTGTCAAAATGTAATCTAATTTTAATTTCTCAATTACATAAGAAGTAGAAATTATTTCTGAGGTACAAAGTGCGAAATTTGCAATAGACCACAGTTTATACCGGATGACAAAAGAAAGTAGGAACACTCTATAACTTCTAAAAAGCTTGAGATAGCGATTTAAAATTTGAAAGGGATAATATAGACTGAATGTCCAATTTTTTGACAATATGTAGTCAATGGTTGCACTTCCACTTTGAGCGAAAATGACAGTAATTTCGAATTTCAGCTACGGAAGATAGGACAGTCACGGGTTACCTGATCATGGGAAAAATTGTAAATAATAATAATAATAATAATAATATACTTTATTCAGGTAATTTCGACAAGAAAAGGCAAGAGTGCAGCGCCCAGACGTATCTGCTTGCTGATTTCTACACTTATCCTTACACATAACATCACACCATGGTTTTAATTAATGTTTACAATTTACAATACGTTAAGTACCCACTTAATTATATAACAGAATGAAAAACCTAAACCTACCTCTGTAAATAAAAAAACTGTAAATACCACAAATTTTTAAAGAATTCTAGCAGTGCACATTGGTTAGATTCTTCCTGCGCTCTGTAACTCCTCAATGTTTTTTTTTCATTTTTTTTCTCTTTAAATTCCAGAACATAACCACGTTTATAGTTAATTTAGAAAAGAATTTATTGTCGCATTCTGAACGGAGAGATAATCTAAGAATTTTGTTGTGACAATAATAAACAGAACAGGAGCTAAAATTGAACCTTGAGGAACTCCACTTCTTATGTCTAGGCAAGCAGACTCGACCCCGTTCAGGACCACCTTTTGCTTTCTCCCTGTTAAGTAGTTTTTAATTAAATTTACGGATGCCTCTCCAAAACTTAAGTATTTAAAAATAGTGAGTAGAATATTGTGGCTAATGGTATCAAAAGCCTTAGAATAATGGAGTAGAACCAACACAGCGCACTTACCTTCATCAATTTCTCTGATGATGTTATCTGTCACATTAAGAAGCGCTGTAGCACAACTGTGCCCCCTCCTAAAAACGGCTTGTGTTTTGTCAATTAGTTTCTCCTTTTCAACATAATTTGTTATTTGGCTTTTCAGGACACGTTCTATAACCTCGGATAATATTGGCAGAATGGAAATGGGCCTTAAGTCGCTAAGCGACTGCGGGTTGTCAATCTTAGAAAGACGGACAATATTAGCTACTTTCCAAAGAGAGGGAAAAACAGAATGGGTGATGCAAAAATTTACAAGATGACATATGTACTTTAATATAAAAGGGCAACAAAAAAATTATAAAGTTGATATGGATTCCGGATGAAACTTTTCTTTACTAGTCTAATGGCAAATAGCATTTAATGTAATGAACTCTTATTTTTTGGGATAACCTAGTTTTTTATTTATTATTTTTAAAATCCGTCAAAAAATAAGCTCACAGAAAGAAAAAAAGCAAATAAGTAAATACATTTTTATAAAAACAAAATATTGCTTAGGTGGCTTTTTTCTATTCATCGTCAAGTCAAGAAAATTCTGACAGTTTGTACATTTCTTTCTGATTTGGATTATCAGGGCAAACAATAATCAATTTACAATTGGAGAAAGAGTGAATATGTTTCTGATATACGGGGAATGCAGAAAAAACTCTCGACGGTCTGTTTTTTCCTTCCTGTGAGCTTATTTTTCAACGGATTTTAAAAATTTTGGTATCAAATTGTTGCAAAAAAAAGTAGCGGTTTTAAAAAAAATTTGTTCCCACTAGGGTGCTATTTGAAAAAACTAGGTTATCCCAAAAAATTAATAGTTCATTACATTAAATGTTATTTGCCAATAGACAAGTAAAGAAAAGTTTCACCTGGTAAATAGTACTTATGATGGTCCCAGTCTCCTAGACACAATTTTCAAAAATTATATAAAAATTTTAAAAAACACAAAAAAAAGAGAAAAACCGTCATATCCTACACAGAATGATCTTCTGAATCCAAAAATGCAAAAAAATATAGGTTGTGCCATTTAAAATTCGAAAGTTACAGTCCTTTCCGCTCAAGCCGGAAGTGACTACATATTGTCAAAAATTTCAATATTCAGCCTATATTAACCCTTTCAAATTTCAAATGGTTATCTCAAGCAGTTTAAGAGTGTTCCCACTTCCTTGTGTCACCTGGTATGCCAATTATAGAGAAATAACTTTAAGTGAATATAACTTGAGTAATTCGGATAGAACACCATGTTTTTTAACATTATTTTGGCTATCAATTTGTGTCGATGGAGTGTAAAATGATCAAATGCAATAATATTACATTCACAGAGCATTCACTAAAGAGATTTTACAGCAAAACCATACCTCAATAAATTGCATATCATTTCTAAATGCAGCAGCCAACTAGTTGTTATTAGATTGAAACAACTTTTTTTTCCTACCCTGTCTAATAACTGATAAACTATAAACTAATAACTAATAAATTCGCATTACTTAAAAAACTTTAAGGTCCACGTAGGATTAACATTGACACATGAGAGTGAAATCAAAAAATCATATAATATACATAGGCTCCATTAAGAGATGGTACTTTTAACGTTTTGGTAATTTTGATAAGTTATCATGGAACTTTACACGTCCCAAAAGCAAGATTTTTGAGAACCGTAAAGCGTGGATAATCCTGTATAAATTCAATTTTAGATTTTACGTAGAAAAGTTGACTTTATTTAACTTTCTTTAACTACCGTTTCCAACATAAAACTTAACTTTAGCAAATTTCACATAATCTGAGTTTGCCAAAGATCGTTTTAAATTAAACTTTTTGGCAGTTATTTATTTATTATTATTTATTTAATTGCATTCTCGGTACATACTTTTTAAACATAATATTGGACGACAAATTTAAACAAACTACTCGGCAAAGCATAAAAACACATGAAATCATTAAATTAAAAAAACATGTGACTTGTTTCGTCTAAAGTGACATCATCAGACATTACCGATTACTGTTATATGAAAAAATTGCAAAAACCAGTTGGTGGCCTATAGGCCTATAATTAGCTACTTCTGTATTGGTATGATTTGTGCTTAAACATTTAGTCAAAATAATATTGAGAGGCAGTGCCCAATGTAGTACAGAGTATTATTCAGTTCTAAAGTAGTTAATAGTTGTGTTTAACCTTGGGAGTCTGCCACAGTTCCGTCAATGTAGGTTATTTTAGAGGGTAACGATTTTCCATCCTTTCTGTTATTCATATATGAGCAAAATATGTTTGTATCTTTTTTAAGTTATTTTTAATTGTTTTGTTTTAAAATCTTTTCGTAATAGCGAAAATAGATTGTAATCATTGATGTTTCTGAATTTTTGGCAGTTTTTCCTAACCTCCTCTGTGTCGTCACACTGTAACTTTTTTGTGACATAAGTGGCTACAGATTTGTTTGTTTTACACTTTAAAATTCATTTTTATCTCAAGTGCAGGATGGTGGATGTCTTCCTGTACCTACAAAGGGACTGCCGGTTCTGTTGACATTAGCAAACATATTTCGTGAAATAACTGAATCTAACATCCTATTAATGTGTTTCCTGAGTTGCGTAAGGGTTTCGTCGCACCACAGGGCACCAAAGCGGAAATGTCGTGGTCCCTGTCCTAACCAATGTAGGTAAAATTAAAATCCCCAATAGAAATTTGATATGAAAGCAATATAAGTGTTCTATGAGTGTTCGTTGACATAGATTTTTTTCTTCTCAGAAAAATGAAGTGAAGATGTATTAAGTTTTTTGCCTACGATGGGCCTTTTCCCTATAGATAATAATATTTGCGGTCTGGGTTTGACATTTTTATGGGTCTGATGATGACTTTTAGTCGAAACACGTTATTAAAATTTGTGTTTTGAAGGCTGATACTATAAATTTTGCGTGTTTTTTGTGTTCCCTATATTTAACACTGAGAGAATTGATTAATTTATTTTAAATTAAGCGAAAAATATCTTGATGTTTGGACGTTATTTCCTAAACTAAGCAGCGTATCGATTCATCGTCAGCAGACCCATCAACAGATATCACTAGGTCCGGGTGATAGGACTAAAACGAAAAGTATTCTTGAACATTGTTCCTGACAACCGAAATTTTTTGAGTTAGTTGTGTGTCGGATAAATCTCATCGTTCGCTAACGACCCCCTAAATTATTGGTTATTGTTGACTGTTAATTTTTTAATGTTCTAATCTTAAGAGACGTGTACATAGATAGTTAATGACTGGCCTGAATTTCGATACTATAAGCTTTCGCGCAGATGAAAATTAATATATACATATAATCAAAATATCAAACGGCGTTTAAAATTAAGGACAAATTAAGGTTCAAGTTTTTCGTTAATTGTGGAAAAATTTTTTCGATTACTGTAGAAAGCTCGTAACACCAAATGGCAGTTTTAATTTTGAACAAGCTTCTCACATCTTCACGATGATCATACTTGGTTACGATTCCCCAAAATTCATCCATTGAATGCCAATTTGTGATATCCGTAATCGCCGTCTCCGAACGGTTGGAACATTTCCAATAGGCTTCGACAACTATTTATCCGTGAATTTGTGTTTCGAAATAATTTTAGGTCGTATAAAAAAATTCGAAGGAAATTGTGAAGCTTACACTGTATATACGCTGACGCTTGTGTCCATTTTCCAAATAATGTTCTTTGGTGTTTGTGTACGAAATATTCGATATTCCAGAACGTAAAACTTCTGAACCCCAAAAACTGATTAATCATCACTAGTTAGGCGAATCAAAGTGTAAATAAGATACGATAATATATTGTAAAATGCAGGAACTGATTGAGAAACGTCGGTTTTGTACATGACGATCGAGAGGCGATTCACGATCTTGCGGGTTACGACTCGCGTTTCTTTGTTTACGACCGCGTGTGTATAAAATCGTCGTTTATCACTGCGAGATATTTAAAAAAATATATGTAGAACCGTAGCTACCGGCCAATAAACAAATTATTCCGCATCAAACGTTATGTACCATACATTTTCGTGTAACGTATAAACTTTTAATTGAACATATCAATCGTCTTTATCGAGGAACATTTTCTCTCATTTACCTGTCGCTTCATATCATCGCGATCCTATTACACCATTGGTAATTCAAGTAGCCTAATTTTTATTCTTGGTCCTGCGGGGGTTGGGGTACTATTGACAAATCTTTCCCGATAGGGAAAACTGTCTTGCAAAAAATTTAACATTGCCTAACGGTTCTTGCGGTTATACATTATATTACTTTTTGAATTTTGAAAAAATTAGGGCGACTTTGTATAAGATTTTTAACCGATTGTGACAGTTTTCCCTGGAAAACCACAAAGCACTTTGACAATTACCGCCAACGAAAAATTCATACAAAGTTGCCTTATTTACTTTATAAATTTAAATTTAATTCTTATTTTTTAGTAACCTGCATCTCTTCAATGTGATTTACCACAGTAAAATTTTCAATGGTTCGGAATACAAAAAATGGCTTCATTATTGAGGGAAAATATCAAATTTTCAAATTTTCTGTAACTTTAATGTTGCCATAAAGGAATCCGTTTAATATTTTTGAAAATTCCATACGTCACGCAATCGCGATTTAATTGCGAAACCGATAAAAACGTTTTTAGCGGGGTTGATTTCGACCCTCGCGAACTATTTTATAATAAATTTGCGATATTAATATCAAGGTGAATATAGTTTATGTGTAAGTGCTTGTAAATAATATTGTGATAATAATAAATCAATTTGCACAAGTACGTTTCGTTTTTTTTTTGTTGTTGGAATTGTAACAACATTGTACACTGAATTCGACAATTTTAACACCATCCAAAACCAAATGCTGGTAGTAAACCGCAAAATAACAATCAAAAATTTAAAAAAAAATTTAGTTATTAATACCAAATAAGTATAAGTTTCTTATTAGAAATATTACCTGCTTACCTAGTAAGTATGGGAACTTTATAATGGGATATGGAAAACAAATTTTTGACTAGAATTTTCACGTATATTATAAGCAATGCAACATTTTAACTCTTTTAACTCTTTACTAGGTTTTACATATAATTACCAGCAGTGCCACATGTATGATATGGTATCTTTTAACTATCAGCTTTCAAGTATATTGATAAGATATATTTACCACATGTTTCGTTAAGGCTGAATCTTTTAACTTTTATGATGGTGGTCAGAAAATAAAATCTTTACTAGTTCTCTCCCATATATTGACAGGCATATTTGTTAACAATGCAACTTTTAACAAACTCTTTCCTACGACTTTCATATATACAACATAATTAGTCACTTTTTGTAATGGTAGTGAGAAAATAAACTCTTTACTAGGACTTTCATATATCGCAGGTGACACGATTAGTTAACACGGTAACTTTCAGAATTATGATTTAAAGATTTATTGTGTGAGGCTAATGTCCCGGCCTTCCGTTGCGATCTGGTGACCTACTGCGGCACAGTATTCACTCCCCATCAAATTCATCCCTCGTAGAATGTCCGTTATACTGTGCGAAAATGTTTTGTTCAGATCTTCAGAGCTGATGATTTAGGCCGCCAGTTTTGAGAGCCTGATTCATCCCACTGCTGGCCAACATTTGTGGTCTGGCATTTCCTCAACCTGTATTTACAACCGGCACTCGTCATCATTGGCGAGGTCAATATTGCGCATGTGGTGTTTGAGGCTGTACATCCCAAAGCGACTTTTCAGCCTTTATCTGTTCACTCCATCTGTCTTTGAATGAGTCAACCCTGATAATCGCTATTATCCATGCTTTACTTGCATTTCCTGCCAATTGGCGATTTGCTATAACATTTAACTCTAGCAGTGGTTTTTAGAAAACAAACTCTTTCACATTTGTTTGCAAGCGGTATCGTATATTGTATATAGCAATATATTTACAAACAGTGTAACATGTCTCGTTCATACTGTAACTTAACTAGGACTTTCAAACAGAGTTTTTGAAAGCACATAAAGTGCCAATATGGATTTGTGGAGACTTTAGCATACGTTATTGTCTTTGGTCAGCTGAATATTATTGATTTGTTTTATCTGTAAGTGGATGGAGAATCCAATCAGTCTGAGGACACTGTCACGCTTCTGTCTGACTCATGTGCATTTGACTACTTATGGCAAATTAATAACATCGCAAAGCACACTGGGAAGACATTGGCGTAGATCACACTAATTCTAGTAGTTCTCAGGATGATAATTTTTATTACGATTTCACTGTTAAATGACTGTTTGAGCCTAGCTCAATCAGTAAAGAATAATATTGTTTATTAGCTTGTATCTTTAAACTCAGGCTCTGATGCCACAAACGCAGATTACCATGTTGGTTTTCCGCTGCGCTAAAGCCTCTGATAATCTCAAAACCAGGGGAGCGATTATTACTATTACAAGAAATCTAAATGTAAGAACTTGTATCGTAGTTCTTATTTAAACAGATAACAGAAGTATAAAACAATTTTGGAATTTTGGAGAGCTACCACCATGTTTTTCGATACTACCCAATGTCAGCTGCCTGATCTTTCAGAAATACTTAAGATGAGCTTAAAAGATTGTAGCTTTCTTTTATGCCGCCCCTTTACGTTATTTTTAATAAACCACATCGCATCTTTCCTGGAAATTAAGTTATTTGACACACATTTGTAAAAGTGGAAATATAGCAGACGTCTGTAACTACATTTGCACCCTGATTAACTGAAGTATATTTTCAACTTATTAATAATTGACGAGCAAGAGGTCCACTGAATTGGATCTGGTTACTTATGTTGACAATGTGTGGCGCGTCTTGGATAGGGATAGGGAAGTGCATGCTGTTTACACCTCTTTTCCAAGGCATTCCACAGCTGGTCTTTAGGGAACTCTTTGTCAGTGATAGATTTCAAGTTGTCTAGATAAATTATTTCCGTTCCACTTATTTTCCTAGCACGTCTATTGTACCACACAATGCTGCATGCTTTGAAATCATCCAGATTCTTCTGTTTTGTTATTTCCTCTCAGTATGACTCTGTAGTGTGAGTTGAATGCGACGAATCTGAATGAATCGCCAAAAAACGCAATACAACTTTAACTATTGCATAAATGACTCTCCGTTGTCCCAGGTGTCAAACATCAATGATGTTGAACTCCCCTTTATCATTTGTTAATCACATAGAAAGAATAGTTTCCAGAGCGCTAAGTATACTTGGTTTCATTCAAGGGCAACATCAGACGACACAACTATTTCTGCTAACTATACTGTTGCCTAATTAGAATATTGATCAACAGTTTGAAACACTCTTAATGAAAGATATATTCATAGGAACTAACAAGTACCAAGAATGTTTCTGCTCCCTCTGTGCCTATTTTTAAACTCATTAATTATAGGGTTGGTTGAATAATGCCTTCTTCATTGATGCTCTCAGTTTCATCCAGAAATATCAGATTCCTAAACGTATTTTAAGGAACCTTTAGGCGCACGAATGTTGGACCTAATTAGTTCATCCCACGTGTAGCAAGAATGGCTGACTCATATAAGCACCTTGATTTTGTTGACGGCAGTTTTTATAGCTTTGTGAATCTCTTGAAGCGTCACTTGATATAGTGGTACAGTATTTAGATTATAATGGAATAATTCAATGGTTTGTTTTAGTGATGTTTATGCTAGTTAGTATCTGTTAAAATTAGCTCACATTGTATTAAACAGATTTCAATCTTGTTAAATTTATACTTGTCAGTTAGATTGCCCTTTAATATAACTAATAAAAGAATAACTTCGTTTGAACTTCATTTTACTGAATAAAAAGTAAATAATATGCGAATGAATAAAACAAATTAAATAATATAAAATAAACTAAGAGGATAGTTTGTTATTTGAAACATTCACGCATCTCACCAGAGATCAGACACCACAGAACACTATTAAAAATGCATTTAGCTAAATTTCTGGAAAAAAATGAATTGCGCGTAAAAAAAAGTGTAGTCCAATACTACCCAAGTTAGAAGTGTGCATCTTTAATGGTAGTCAAGATACTTGAACAAGACAAACAGAAAAAAATAAAGAATTTGGGATGCACTGGACAAAGTTTTCCTCTGTTAATTTGTCGCTAACAACTTCTTTAACTCCGAGTTCGTCTTTTGGGATCAACCGTTTAAATTTTTAATTTGATTTAAAAATTTTCAGAGAACTTTAACGTCCGGCAATCCCAAAACGAATAGGTTTATAAATAACAAAATAGAAAATCTTAAATGGATGATTCCTAGTTTAATATAAAGGGTAATTTGGGTCAAAAATCGACCGTTCTGGATATTTCGCGCTGTAGGGCGGAAAAATAATGTGTTATTTTTTATTTTAAAAACTAAAATAGCTAGATAAATTAATACGTAAGTATTATTGTTATGAAAACACACTCTCTGTATATTTCTTTAATTTTTCAAAGTGAGCTGAGGCGGACGAATTAAACTACCTTTATTATTCTCTTAACTCAATATAAAGGAAATGACATGGACAACAATTAATTTAAATACTCGGTTAAATTGGAAACTTTTTTATCTGCTGCAATTTTTTCACAAAACTTACAGTTTCCAAATAAAAGAATAAAATGTTTTGGTAAAAAAGTTTCAACCCTATGTACGTGTTGTTGATATAACTGTTATTTTTTTTAAATATTTTTCATACAGTTGATGCATCATAATTTAATTTTGTCCCTGATTACCCTTCAATAATATTTTGACCAGCATGCACCATTATTGAATTAACCATAAGCATAAACCATTATTGAACAATTAAATGGTTAGATAGCAAATTTTTGATTAAATTAGGTCTATTTTGTATTCAAACTAACTGCGTAATGTTCAATAAAGCAATAATAAAAAAAGGACTTAAATCGAGACAGCAGCCAATAAATAAGTTTTCCTTAAGTTAAAGTTTGATTTTGTAATATTTTATTGTTCTGATTTTAAGATAAAAATAGTTGGTTTTTATACAGGACACTCTTAACAGCTTCTTTTAATTCTACGTTTCCATAGGATCTACTGCAAACTTGATTTTTGAAGTGACCCAATACAAATAAATCAGGGGGTGTTATATTTGGGGATCTCACAGGCCGTCTGACTGCTCCCAAGTTGCTTATCCACCTGTTCGTAATAATCTGTACGCCGTTTTGTTCGTTCTGCAACCGCTAGTCGAAGGTTCATAAGATCTTGTGTTACCTGTGTTTGTACAAGGTTTAAATTTCCCGACATGCCAAAATACTAAATCAACAGTATCGCCATCCTAAACTCCCTACCAAAGCCATTCACGATAACGCTTTATGACGCTGTTGATTGTGAAATTTTCATCTGGAGGTTTGCTCCATTTTAACTTAGCAAAACTGATGTAGGTTGACAAGGTTGTCTTTCAGACGATTAAACATATCTCTACCCGGTTGAGGTCTTTCCGAATATTTATTTAAATACAATTCTTCGGTGTTTGCTTCGTTTCTACCGTAGAGAATAAAACATCCCAACATATCATACTATTTGACAAGTAATTCATTTTAAAACTAACAATTTATTAACTTCACACAACGGACACTGACAATAATTACGAATCACCTGGGATACGCTGACATGGCAAACTTGATAGAAAATAAACGGAAAATGGAAATATTATTTTTATTGTTTTTCCGGATTTATCCTCGCAAAACATAAATGATTTACACATGGTTTTAAAGCATTTTTAAAGAAGATTTTGAAAATGTAGAAATTCAATATTGCGCACATAAAAACAACAAAAGTTGATTTCGAACGTACGCAGCATAGTAGACCTAAATTTTTTTGACACCATTTTTAGCATCGCCGTATCCTTTTACCCATATTCTGAAAATTTGAACATTTCCGCTCCCATAATAAGACAAATATGTATACGTAAGAGTATCGATTTAAAATAAAACAAAGCTAGATTGAACAGACGCTGTATCTCTTACAGTTTCCAATATCCCCATGTATATTATCTTATACTGGACACCCTGTATAACCGCTGTATCAAAAATCAACCATTGGGGAGATATGGGGCCACAGATATAGCAGGAAAATAATGTTTTGATTTTTTATCTTAAAAACGAAAAAACATAGAGATCAATAAAATAAAGTTTGTACAGTTTCCCATGTAGATCATCCTATACTGGACAGCCTGTATGGAAAACTACCTTTTATTTTTAAAAAGGAATCATCTTAAGTTTTTCGCATTTGTTTTGAAACTCCCTGCAAATGGTTCAAATTAAATAAAATTATTTAACTAAATATTGGTTGTAAAAGAAACTAATATCATATATGACCAAATTCGAAGCTAAAATACGAAATTTTTGCGGCTGCGTGCAATTGAGTTATAACTACGTCACCCGTCACCCAATATCATTTGAGATTTTCCTAAAACATATTTGATTAACACTGCAGCTTTTAACAAATTCTCTACTAGGACTTTCACATATCACATCATTAACTTTCTTTAAAATTCGAAACTTACAGTGAAAACGAAACATGTCGCAATGCTTGTGAAGGTCCAAGTGAAGATTTTGTTTTCTCTGAAAACCACTATGGACTTAAACTCCCAAAAATAATGCCTGAAAACATTCAAACAACGATAGCCTTCACCGTAAAAGATAATGTAACCGTAGATAATTAATACCACTTGCTCGAACGGCATCGATCAAACAAGGGGGGCAGAAATTTATCCACAACTATCTCGATTACACGCATTCAAATGGGGTAGCTAACCACCCGTATACATAGGGTGGCCCAGGAAAGAGATAACCATAAGGACTTATTGTGCCTAAAGGCTATAGCTAATTATAAAACAAAGGATTTATATCGCTTTTTCGAAAAAAAAAATACTACACTTTATCTCAATAAGTACGATACTGAGGGAAAAAAGTTAAATACAAAAAGTGTTTGCACTAAGTATATATTTTATTTATAGTATTTTCATGTATACAGGATGTGATATTTTAAAAAATTCTAATTATTCACTTGATTTTGAGTATTTTTTGTCATTACATAGCATAGGAAATTTTAAGAAAAAAAAACTGAAGGACCGAGCAATTAATGTATTTGGCACTGCCTGTATCTGTGATGGGTGGTGATGAGATTTAGCGTTCAGATATCTATTAGTGTGTGTTGGTTTTCTATAGACAGTGTGTTCCAAGTGTCCATCTTCGGTCCTTGTGATGTGCACATCTAAAAAGGGTAGACTGTTATCCTCTTCAAGTTCTATTGTAAATTGAATCCTTGGGTGAATGGAATTCAGATGATCTAGGAATTTCAAAAGCTCCTCTTTGCCAAAAGGCCATACAACAAATACGTCATCAACGTACCTTGTCCATAGTTTTGGCTTCAGATTTGCCTTCTCTATTGCTTTCTTTTCGAAGTAAATCATGAAGAGGTTGGCAATCACAGGTGAGAGAGATGATCCCATTGCTGCTCCATCTATTTGTCGGTAAATTTTCCCGTTGTGCATAAAGTAAGCGTTTTTCAGGCAATGTCTTGACAGATCAATTATGTATGGCGGAAGATCTTCGTTTTCTTCTATAAGCAAGAGTGCCTCTTCTACTGGAATACTCGGGTAGAGGGATTTGACATCGAAACTTGCCATAATGTCGTCCTTGTCCATCCTGAGAGAACCTAAAATCTGAGTGAAATGTTCTGAGTTTTTAACATAGGAATCTGCCTTTTCCACTATAGGCTGAAGTGCACTGGCCAGATGTTTTTCCAGCTTGCATAATGGTGAGTTAAAGGCGCTTACGATTGGACGCAGGGGAACCCCGTCCTTATGGATCTTTGGGAGCCCGTAGAATTTTGGGCAACGACTCGATTTTTCCCTCGGAATAAGTTTCTTCTTTGTATCCTCGTTTATTGATGAATCGAGAATTTTGGACTTAGTTGTTTTTTCAAAATATGTCGTGGGATCTCTGGTGACTAGTTTGTATATTGGGTCGTTCAAAATATCCTCCAATTTTGCATTATAATCCGACGTATTCATGACGACAGTGGCATTTCCTTTGTCTGCTGCCATTATTAGAATGTTTTCGATTTTGTTTAGATTCCTTAAGGCTTGCATTTCTTCTCTGCTTAAGTTTGGTTGCGGTGGTTTTGACTGTCTTAAGACTCTGGCGACATCTTGCCTAATTAACTCCGCATCTTGTTCGTCTATGGTGGAAAGACTTGCTTCGACGTTGGAAACGATCTCTTCGACGGGTACTCTTTTTGGAGCTATTGCGTAGTTAAATCCTTTATTCAGTACGCTGACTTCTGTATCGGAAAGATGGTATGCTGAAATATTATGAACTGTACTGCTTCGGTTTGTATTTGGCACTTGTCCTGATTTTTTTGGAATTTGACTGAAGGATTTCTAATTTCTTCCACAGTTTTTTTGACGTGATGTCCTTGTCTTTCTCAGTGCGCCATGATGTTAATAATTCTATGCGGTCCCACAGCAACTGATGGATCTTGTTGCTCAGTTTCAGGTGGAGTCTGAAAAGTTGTAGCTCAGTCTCACTAATTTCGTACCGGGTCCGCCTGATCTGGTCTTGGAGTAGGGCCTTGCTAGCTTTGTCCAGGATAGCTTGTGTCTTTCTGGTGCGTGTGTGATAAGACAACCTTGTAAATGTTGGCAGCAAGTTCTGGTTGCGGCAGCTTTTAAGAAAATTCAAGTTGCACAGCGAAATAACCCTCTTTTGTCTTAGTTTTTCATAACACTTGGTGGCTGTAAAGATCTCCTTCCCGTAAAGGTGTATGATATTCTCACGTATTGATTCACGGATGGAAAAATGTGATGACACTATATTCCGGGATATCATCCGTTCGCTCGTTGAACTCCGACTGGAATCCTGCATCCGACTGGAATCCTGCAAATCTTGCATCCGACTGGAATCCTGCAGACGTTTCGCCAAAATCTCACTTGGCATCTTCAATGCTCGCGCTCCGAAAACACTTCGAACACTGGGAGGTTATCGGCGGTGCGTGCGGTATTTATACTCTGCGCCGGAGATGGTAACGGTGCTGCTTGTGCGTGGGGGGAGGTGGCTCCGCCCCCTGAATTGTCGCGTTGTTAATTTCGCCCGATCGTAGTTGCGATGTCCCCGTTGGCTGCTGCGCATCGCTCTGCTGTTTGATTATCGTTCTCCACGTGTTGGATAAATGCAGAGCGTCGTCTCTCGTATTGAGGTGTCCGGACTTTTCTATTTCGATGGCCTCTCGTATAATCCTAGTCCTAAAATCAGGAATATTAGCTATTTGTTTGCAAGTGCCGAAATCAATTTTATGGCCTGTCTGATGTTGGTGCTGAAACAAAGCAGATGTTGTTTGTTTGTTTCTTATGGCTAAACGATGTTCCTCGAGCCTGGCTGAAATTCTATATATATATATATATATATATATATATATATATATATATATATATATATATATATATATATATATATATATATATATATATATATATATATATATATATATATATATACATGCCATTTATTAACAATAATAATTACTGTCATAAGAATACAGAAACTAAATGCATTTAAGTCTGTAGATGTCACATTACGGTTTTTAGTTGTTGTTTATATCTTCGTCCATCATTTTTAATAACATATAAATGGAAAATCTAACTGCCAAAATGCTTACCTCCTCTAAACATTTTTCTTTGCACAACTCCATTTTTTTCATGTTATTTTATTAACAATTCTAAGAAAAAAATCTAGTTAACTAATCGGTAATACAGTTGAAAAAAATGTTTCCAGAGATGTTTGCATCATTTCATATATTTCTCAACATTTTCTCGTATTTCTCCATACTTATTCAGTATTATCCCTTATTTACCCCGGAAGGTAAGTATGTTCTACCTGCCTCTCCTATTTTACGGGTACAATTTTTAAATGAAATATGCGATGAATCTAAAACATGCGCCACCGATGCGATAGAGGATATTTTATACTATTTTACAATTTATACCTCCCTCCACATGATTGCGATTTGTAGCTTAATGTGGGCTTAATCAAACTCTTTCTACGTTTGACCTTTTTACTGTCTTGTGACGTCACCCAGCCATTTCCGCGATAACTTTCAAACGCCCATTTGAATTTTTTTCTCCGAAATAAATAAGTTAAAAGTAACCACCCTGAATAACATCATATGACACCAAAAGCCCGTCGAATGTACAACTATTATTTCACGCATCTTTACGCTTAAGGATATCGGGTTGATTCAATTACGAACGAGAAATCCAGGGACTTTACAAAACGCAGTTTCGCTCGAGCCGTTTTAAATGTCACCCCTTTTAACATTTCCCCCGAATAATACCGTGAAGTCACGTGCCAGACCGGTCGGCACTTCACGCGCCACTTGCCACCGGCGTCGGCAGTGTTTGTATCGAAAATTTCGACTCCGTTTCGAGTTTCGACGTCGCCGGGCGGTCTTAAAGGTACGGGAAACCGCGATTGTACCGGACAAAATCATGATTTTACAACCTTGCAACGTCGAACTGACCAAAGTGCACTACTACGATACAAGCAAGCGGTAAGCGAGACGTTTCCTTTATTTTTGCGCCGTTTCAATCGCTAACTGCGATTTTTTTTTACATTTCTGGGCCTCGAACTTGTGTTTTCAATTAGCCATCGAAGCGATTCCACAAGAAAACTTTTAACAACGAGAATTTAACAGCCGCTTAATAAACAGAAATAAACAAAACTGCAACCACTTACGTCTTTACAGCCACGTAGGTAAATCACACAACACACCATTTATGCGAGTGACATCTACCACAAACTACTCGGAAATTCTTACCACACTTCTTCGAATTGACGGAATCACAGTTACCAAATTGGTGGTTTTTGCTAAGTTCTAACCATCATAAGCATGGATTATCTTCTTCTCTTCTTTTACAATCTATCCATTGTAGTCGGGTCAAATGCGGAATTTTCAGCAATCAAAACGTATCGATATCGACGATATCCAGGGAGATCGCTCAGAATGGTTTCAACCGAAACGTCCTGATCAAAAAGAATATCTTCGGCCATCGCTGGGTGCTGCGCATCAACGAACTAGACGACAGACTAAAGAAAAAACCGCCCGGAAGGAAACGCACTTTATACGTAGTGGTTTTCTGCTTTATCGTGGTCGCCATTTCGTCCGGGATATTTTTCTCGTTGGGTAATTTAATACATAACGAAACGTACGTGCGATTATCCGTTGGTTTTATTTCAGACCGGTACATATTTAAAGGAAACGATGACGTCATCGCCTCGACGCCTAAAACCGTGTCGCTTGCTAATTTCACGGTAAAAATAATCACCTCTCCTTCTTCGTCAAACTCAAGCGACATAGATTTAAGAAGTAACGTACCCGACCAGACTCGAAACGTGAGCATTTAACTAACCGAAGTGTTTTCCCGGCTTAAAAACCGCGAATAACAAAACATGGAGGGTTCGTTTTTTCAACGCCTTTCTGATTTTTAGGCAACGGCAGAGTTTTGCGTCGATTGCGATCTCGCCGAGGAGGTGTGCATTAAAACGGCCGAACTGGAGCAGCCCAAATGCGTCCGAAAACGCGACAAAAAAGATCCGACCGGTTGCGGAGGCCTGTGCCGAATCGAAGTCGAGTATTGCAAGAGATTGGACAAGCGCAGCCCGGTGCACCAATGCTTGAGGCTCCAACACCTGCTGAAATGTCCCGCGAACATGTTCAACTGCGGCAACATGTGCGTCTCTATCGATAAGAGGTGCGACGGCAAGGTGGATTGTTCGAATAAGTCGGACGAAAAAGATTGCGGTAAGTATACTTCGACCAGAAATATAGTGCTTGTTCGTCGGGCAATTCTTGAAACATGTACATCAAAAAAGATAGTACAAAGTAACAATTTATTACGTTCTATTTCATTACTATGATTATTAATATACAAAATATTAAATATAATCAAAATATTAAATATAATAATAAAGTATCAGTCAAATAAAAATCGTTCAACAATCAACTCCGCCAAATATTTTCTTCTTTTATTACTCGTTTTTCACAGTTAAACCAGCTCTTTACTGATTTTTTACTACCTCTTGCCGAATTACGTTTATTTTACTATCATTAAATTTTGGTGCAGTGCTATTTCTCCTTATATACACTTGCAACTCAGACCAAATCATCTCAGTGGGGTTAAATATGCAATAAAACTCATTTCTGCTATAGAATCGATTTTGCAGTGTTTATTAAAATTGTTTATGTTTAATAATTCCAGAAGTTGTATTTTAGTCGAAAAAATTTTTTTTGTCCGTTTGTCCGTTCTCCGCTTCCGTCTTTTGGTTTTAACTAAATAACTTTCGAACCGTTGGCCGAGACACATAAGCTTATAAGAAATGATCCTGATCCGACGCCGGTATCCATCTTTTTTTCGCGATTTTCAAAGTGTCCCGACATTTGAAGCACTCGACTTCATGAATGCCCTACATGCATTACATAAATGCCCTAATATCTATGATTTTTGAACAAAAAACGAAAATTATGAAATAGTAGTACATATGTACGTATGTATTTACATAATATATGTACATACAAATGTATTGTATATGTACCCAGTATATATAAATATAGTATGTATGCACATATACATACATATATATGTACATATTAAAGTTTACTCTTTCACTGGAAAAAAGTCAGTTATTTGTGACTAACGACCGGATTTCTTATTTTGGTTTTCAACAAAAGCTTCAATTTTATTTAAACAATCATAGAGTGAATCGATTGTGTATTCACTGGTTTTCACAGGAACGCAAGACAATCAACGAATTTTCAACCAATTCATTTGAAGGTGGTTGCTGAGAATCATCTTCCAATTCCTCCTCCATCGTGTCACTTTCGCAGTCATCTTCGATGTTTAACTGTACCGGTTCGGATCTGCAGGACTCGATAATATCTTCATCAGTAGGAAACTCTGAAGTAACAATATCCTCATCCACATGTATAAAATCGTCAAAAAAAGTCAAGGGAATCTCATCTTCTTCTTCCCATTCAGAATACTGACCAAAACCGGCTTTTTTAAAACAATTGGAAATTGTTTCAGGCTTAACGTCGATATTCCATGTTTTCTTCGAAACGTTCCATTGCGGTGATGACTGCATGTTTATTTTTCAAAATTGTAGACACTGTACTTGCCGAAACCCCATACTTCACAGCTACATCTTTATTTTTTGAGCCACTTTCCACTTTTATAACTTTGAATTTTTGAGCAACAGGCAAAGCTTTTAAAGCATGTTTTGATGACATATCAACAAATGCAAAAATTAAAAAATGTCTTTAATATAATGTGTAAATTGAATAGCGACAGTATTTTTCACTTAGTATTAACTAGTAAGTCATACGAAGTTGCACCAAACGTTTCGTACGAGTTATCAAGATATTCGGGTAATCGAAGTTCGAGTATTCAAGACAAACTAACACGCATTTCCTACTTTTGACGCTATTGCCAACCAATTTGGTTCGACTTATCAAAAATTCCAGTTATCGAAGTTCGACTGTATATGCAGCTTTGCCTCGTAACGGAACCTATTGAAAATGGGGGGCTGGGAGGTCGGGAAGTATTCTAAAAAAATTAAAAATCTCGTGTACAATAAACATAATTTTTCAAAAACCGTTTACGAGACCAAAAAAATTCTTAAACCAGAAGACGCAAAAGATTCGGCTCCCTCAACTTTTATCCTTGACAATTTTTCAAAAATATATGTTATAACTGACAGAGTATGATTCAGATCTGACTTGCCTTTATATTGCGATATAGCCCGCATATAAAGCAAAAACTTTTGTATTTAAGGTTGTACAGGGTGTTTCCGATATTCCGTGCTAAATGAGAAATGTGTTAAGTGCCCTAAATTTGCAGATATCAACTTTAAATTTATCAGAGAAGTAAAAGTACGTGTCCACATTTAAACGGTAGAAATTGGGTGTAATCAAATTTTACCAAGTATTTAAAAAAAAATGTTTTTTTTTTTGTAATTTTAGCTTCCAGAAAGATATGTCTTCCTCCTTAATCGTTCACCCGATCGACAAAATTCTTTAACCAGTAGACGCGCAAGACCCAGTGCAATAACATTTATTTCAGGCATTGTTTCGTTTATATACAGGGTTTTCAAATTATAGGCAAAAATTTAAAAGACCTAGAAAATTGTTGAAAATTATTAACCGCAAATCATAAATCGTAAAAAAATATGGCTAATGGGTTCAAACAGTGTGATAGCTGCAACAAGAGCTACAAGTTTTGTATTTGCGGTTTTCGTCTATCATATACGCTACTTATTTTCTCGAAAAGCATTAACTATTTTCAAAAAATTCTTGGACCAAGAAACGTGGAAGATCCAGGGCTATAACCTCTACTTCGACCATTGTTTGAATAATATACAGGGTGTGTTGTTTATGGGCAAAAAATCTAAAGGATCCTAAAAATTTTGGTTTTTGTGGGTAATTATTGGCGATAAATAGAAAACTGTTAAAGATGGGATAATTTTATTTGAACAGTATCGCAAACTGTGTCGAGAGAGAGTTTCAGGTTTCGTCAATTATACAGGGCGCAAGATATTTGGAAAAATATCATTCGACAACGATATTATTTGTACAAATTTTAATATTTACCGATGTTTGCTGTATCTTTGAAGTTCGACGAGTAGTGAAGAACACTTTATACAGGGTACATGCACAATTAAATTACATCGATTTTGAAAGTTCCATAGTGGTCCGCAGGAGCACGATAGAAAAAAAATTGCGCCCCTTTTCCACACGAAATCGCGGATCTGTTTCCTTTTGTAATAAAAAGCTGCTTCGCGCTACGCGCTACGAACTTGCCCTGCCCAGCGACGATTTTTTGAAAGAAATCTTGTTTTTATTGCTGCTCCTACTTCCCCTTCTGAATTTCTTATAAAATTGTAAAAAATTGTACAAAATTCGTTTGCTTCGTAGCAACGACGGTAGGTGCCGCTTTCGTAGTTTTCATTGCCTTGACCCAAATATTTTGTGGTTAGTTTATATACTTTTACTTTCATATTATGACTATTGTTATTATAAATTACATTTAAATTAAATTTAAATTAAAGTTTAACCTATATATTAGAATTTAAACCGTAATTTTAATTCAATTTAAATATAATTTCTATTTGAAAGTCTTCAAATTAGTAAATTATGTTTTGTTGCACAGTAGAAAATAAGGTAAATAAGTTTAGAAATATTTTTAGACGATTTTATTGTCCAATAACATGATCCACATCCAATAATAATGGAATTTAGAATTGACAAGATTATTCTATACAAACAAAGGTAACATCATCAAAGTTTTTAATTTTTCTCTTTCCTTGGGCAATCTACAAGTTGGAGTATTAATATTTGAGTTTATTTCAGTGTCAATTTGTTTAAACTTGTTATAAATGGGAAATGCATCAAATCTAGAGAAAAATGATTTCCACAAACGTAGAAAATATGTTCTTCGATGTTGCCAATACTATTTACAATATAAATCATTATTTGAGATGGAAACTTATGAAAAGGTTTATTAATGTAAATCAGGAGATTGTAGAAACATATTTATTAGAACACCCTGGAAATTTGGAAGAATATATTAATGTCATACTCGTACTCAAAAATTAGAGTTTGATAATGGCGCTAAAAATATTTAAACAGAGCCAAATACTGAGTACTTCAGTTTGTAGTGCGCCCGCGATAGTCGATGGAAGTTCCTAGAACTGTGCGAGTGGGGGGGTTAAAACGGTAGCGCTGGAGACGGACGGGTAGTATGGGGTTACGAGGTTAAGAGGCCGGTTCATCGTTTTTGAATCCGGACCCGGCAGACCGCCTCAAATAATGTTATTTTGTTTTCAGTGTTGGTCGTGGGACAGTATTAGGTTCCCAATACTGCTCCTCTCAAGTGTATCCTTGGTTTTCGCAAATATACGCTGTTTATACTCCAGAATTCCACGAGATTTTATTATGTGTTTTCACGTAACCGCAGAACAGTTTGTGAAGACCGCAACAAGTTATTTATTCTGCTTTGTGCAGTCTTCTGCAGAAATAATTAGTGTTTGTTAAGTCTAATTTTTTAATGAAATCATTTTTTCAATCGGAACTTCTTGGTTGACATCCCTAACTGAAATTATATCCTGAAAAGGTGATAGCAATAAGAAATTATGCAAGTCCCTGTCAAGATCCTCAAAATTTCTTACCTGTCTTACTGCCTTAGTTATATCACTTTGCATTAGGCATTAAGTTAAAAATTGATCAGATACGTGTGAGGTATCTTGAGTTGCTCAATTAAAATTGTTTTCTAGGTATAAGAATCATATTCAGTAAGCTGGAAGTTTTATCTGTAATTCGCGCTGGTACTGTAATAATTTGTAAATTAAGAGAAACAACTTAATCAGAAAAGTTTCTTGTTTAGAGATCTGTTCACCGTAATAGGTTTGCATTTATATTACCGCCGCAAATTATATTAGCCGGAAGAAATTCGCAAACCCGACTTTCAAAATATTTAAAAATTAGTGGAAATTGCTCTTTGTCGTCGGTTTCATTCAATCCAGACCTCTTCCAAAACATTGTGGCGGTAAACATAACATTAAACTGTAAGTTATGCTTTACATACAACGCTACTCATTCACCCCGACAATCTCTGACTACTCGCGTCAGTTAATTTGAACCATTTCGTTATCCATGTTTGGTGAAAACCAAATCCTCGAAGATCCCACTATATCTATTGCTGTTTTTCAATTATAACTGTTAGCTTAGTAAAGTGTGAAACAAGTGAG